CGCGAAGTTACAATCGGAGGACAATATTATTGTTCTAAATCTGCGTTTGTTATATAACGCGAAATATAACACACATATAGATATATATGTATATCCAATATGTTGATACTATAATATATTACGTTATCCTACTTCAGAATCTTTGGCAAACTATCAGAGTTACCTAACATAAACTACATCTTACGTCACACACTTCAACCATATTCTCCATTATCCCCGCAATATTACCCGTGATTAACATGTCCCTCCATTCTTCACCTGCTCCTAAACTTCCACCTAATAAATATCCCCTATGGCATGAAAATAATTTGCCGTCGTTCCACCCAAAACGTTCCATTACGCGCGACGGAACGTTTCGTTAATCTTTGACGCGCGATCGAAATCATCGCGACACCAACGACACGTTTTACATTCTACGTCACAACGGTTTAACAATATTCCCATTATCCTGCAGCGTTACTCATTTTCCGTAGCCCGTGATCCCCTAATTACTTCCAACAACACGCCCCCCCCCCTCCCCTCCTCCATCTCCATCGCGAAAACTTCCACCTGCAAGTCTGTTCCTCTCAAACTCTCTCGCTCTGTCGCCGGATTCACTCGTGAAACACGTCGCACGTGCCCCGGGGGAGGGAGGGGAGGGCTTCAAACCGTTCATCAAGGGTCTTCTTTAAACAATCCTAGCTAAGCAATCGCGTCAACGATTAAATTACGAGGGCCGAGCCAAAGGTGAACCCCGGCCCCGTCGGAGCGAGGTAGCAAATGAAATTCCGACGAACGGAATCTGGCAGAAATCTTAACGATCCTCCGCTATCTCCCTCCCCCTCCCCCTCCCTCCCTCCACCTAGGACAGCGTGGCGCGACGCGGCACGACGAAGACGGTGCAATTTAAATCTGGCCACCCTCGCGACGCCATGCCCTGGCCCCTCTCTATCACGCGAGCCAACGGGACGCTTAAAATGCCTCGGTGTCCGATTAAATCTTAACAACCTAATTTCGCCCGAGTCCCGGCGCCTTCACCTCGATTCGATGTTCCGGTCTTCGATCGACCTATCGCGCGATCCCACATCCGACTATTTTTCATTCTGACCTCCGCGTCCTTTCTTCCTCGTCTCGTTTCTCTCTCCCTCTCACTCCTTTTCTCTCTCCTCTTCGATCTCGGTCGTTTTCTTTCGATTTTCTCGAATCGAGACCTGAATTGGAACGAACAAGTCTCGGCAGAGGGTTTGCCGGCTGCTGTTGTACTATGTTCGCCTTGGATTCGAGGATTCGACCTTCTTTGAGAGCTCCAGTTGCCCGATTGTGGACACCTGCGAGCTGCGTTTGATTGAGCCAATGGAGAGATCTTCGTCTCATCTTTCGATCCTGTGTTGGCGGAGATTCGGGGAATTGTCTCGGACAAGGGATGTGACGTCAATGCTGTACGATCTCTTTAAATTGAAACGGGCGAAACATCTGCGGTCTGTGTCGTTGCTATTTCGGGTCGTACGGAGTTTCTATACCGTTCCATTTTGACGGGATTCTTGTGGAGAAATTTGAGGGCGAGTAAATGAAACTTCTCGTAGAGCTTATGGAGCGCTAAATACATGCGTACAGGAAAGTTTGTCCGTGGCTGTCATAGATAAATTCTACGATTTGATGGAAACACATGTAAAGAAACTGCCTTGAATTTCAAGGTCAAAACAATTTTCTTTTCTTGCATTTTATTCTACTCATCGCGAAGGTAAAAAATTTTCCCAAGGAATTTAATAGTTCTCAATCGTGCAACATTGTGGACGCGTGCGTTCTAACAGCGACTTTATGATTCTCGATGCGTAGAATGTTTATATTTCGAATAATGTTAACAGTTAGTTTTATCATTTGATTGTTTAAACTCGCGCTAATGCGAAAACTATGATAAATCAAATGTTGGCGGAACTCGATAAGAAAATTACGTAAAACAGACATCCACGCGTCCAGAATCATAAAGTCGCTGTTAGAACCCACGCGTCGAACACAGCAGTGTTAAATGATTAAGAAACTTTTCAAGAAAACTCATTCAAGTTGCGACCTATGGTTCCTCCGTGATGAGTAGAATACAAAGAAAAAAAAAAACGAAATTTTGACCTTGATATTCAAAGTCAAGATCAATTTTTTGCGAAAAGTCGTCCACATGTCGAATAGAATTCATCTGTGACAGCCACGGGTAGACTTTTCTTTCCACCCTGTACATCCGTGGACAGTTGTACGTACGTTAAGTCGGTAATATTCGAACGCGAACAACGTTGGATCGCGTGTTGCCATGCTGCAGCGCGTTGCGTATCCGCAGACAATGCCCATAAATATAATAGCACGGTCTTTTTACAACGATATAAATGAAACGAGGAGAAATCGTTCGTTGCGAAACGGTAACTTCGCCGTTGCTATCAATTTCTCCTAACGGGCGCGCGATACTAAAAATTGCGCGCGGCGAGTAGTGTACCTCGGAATAATCGTGGAACGGAATTGGAATCCGACTTAAATAGTTGAGCAATCAAGACGAATCTTCGTTTATCGAAACTTCGATATCAGACATTCTCCGTAAATAATGCATATTCATCCGAATGCATGTGGATACGTACAGGTCTGCTCTAGATTTCGCCCGGGTTTCGATCTAGATTCTACGTACTGGACGAAATTTAGTTGAAATCGATGGTCTCTCCGGCTACGCTGTAACCGGTTTCCTTGATACCGGATTTAGCGCAACTGCTCTCTCTCTCTCTCTCTCTCTTTCTCTTGCTTTGGTGCTAGAGCCGCCGAGTTATATACGAGGTAAACTTATCAAACTAATTCCCCAAGAATGTGAAAATTTTCGATATAATTGAGCGCTGTTTCGGGGGAGGAGGAAATTAGTTCAAGTGCGAGAACACCGGATTCGAGAAAATTACGACGGAAAGTTCAACTTTAATGGAAGATTTTATGAAGCCCGAAACATTGAATTACGCGACGGAGTTCCTAGCAAAATTTCCCAAACAGATACAAGTCTCATCGATGTCTTTATCGCGGAGGAAAGACACGCGAACACTTTCCTAACTACGAAATTTCCGTTCTTTCTCTCTCTCTCTCTCTCTCTCTCTCTCTCTCTCTCTCTCTTTTCGTATTACTTACAGCAAAATGCACTTGTGTTTCCAAATGAGCGTATTGTTTCTACGTAGAATGAAATTCCGGATCAACGTGCCCCGCTTCTCTACAGGAAGTGAACTCCGTGCAAACACTTTCCTTTGACCGAAATCGTATTATTCATTTACGATTAACACGATTAATCGCAAATTTCAGATTGAAGAAACGAAGAACGAATCGATAAATTGCTGCTTTACCCCCGCTCCCCTTCGCCCGTGCGAACGAAACTCGAATCGCAGAGAGCGAAACTTTATATTTTCGTATCGTAATATGATTATAGGATTTTCAACGTGTAAGCAACGGTGCACGCGTTAAATAATTACGAACACGTTTGGACACAATACATGTATACGCGGGAGTGGAACAAATTAGCAAGGAAAAAACGCACGATTACGTAATAAAACAGAGCGTAATAAAACAGAGCGCATCGTTCTCTCCCACTCCGACTGCTGCTTAAAATATCCGCAGAAGGTTGGCCGTCTAACTAGCCCGTAGGATATTAAATTCTGTTGGCCGTAATCAGCGAAATTCATTTCGCTCGGTTCATGCGGTATTTGTCCGTTGTGCTTTAAACTGTGCGCGCATTCAAAGTGGCGAATCTGTCCCGGACAGGTCGATTGAAGTGCCTCAAACCCTTTCACAATTTCCACTGATGACAAACATCGATCTTCCTTCAGCCGTTGCTGAACCGTTGTTGTGAAACGCTGTTCTTGCGTTCGTCCGCGAGCCCTCTATGGACCACGATTATCGTTACGTCAGCTTTTATTGCTTTGGGGGAGATTATCTTTGAGATAATGGCCAAAAAATAGGAACGGAGCGTTACACCACCAGATTATTCCCTCCGTTTCCTTTCCTTTTGAAGAAAGAAAGTTCGCGTCGTCTGTCTGTTTGCTTGCTTCTGCCTTTCACGTCTATTTATCCGTCTTGCGCATTTATATATTTAACGCCGAGTGAAAAATTTATCGAAAAGGATCAGACCCGGAATTGCCGGGAGTACCGTTTCCGATAAACTCTCAACTACGAGAGACTCGGCGGTCTCTGACCGGCATACGAAAATCCAAGAGCTTGAGTTGAGAAATACACGCGCCCCGAACGGGTTGACGTGCATTTTTCCAAATGAAATATTCACGCCGGGAATTTTCATTATTCAGCGGGATCGCGGCGGAGGTTGCAATTATCCTCGGAGAAACAGAGAGAGAGAGAGAGAGAGAGAAAGAGAGAAACGCGAGTATCTTGACCGCGTTTACTTGATACATCAAGTGCATTTACAGAATTACGAACACGCGAGCCTCCCCTCTCCCCGAGACGGGGAAATTTCAACCGTGTAACTCAATGAAACATACAATTCGTACAAAATGCACACACGGTCTGAAATTGAGCTTGCACTTCAGTCTGACCTGCTGTCCGACGAAAAACAAAAAGTAAAAGAGAGAGAGAGAAAGAGAGAGGGATATTCCGAAAGATCCCTGGCTGCACGCTGCAAACAAAACCCAACGATAAAACCCCTCGAATGTTCGCAGCAGGAGCTGCCTGTCGTTAAACGCATTGCCGCAATACGTACAACCACCTTCTTGCTCCTTCGTCTTTATTCTCTCTTTCTCTCTCTCTCGCTCTCTCTTCTCACCTCCTTTTTCTACCCGCCGAAGAAAGTTCGAGAATACTATTCCAACTCGAACTCAGTCTCGAGCTCATTAATTCTCGCTCAAGAGGGTCGACACCTTCTGGAATCGATCCTCCTGTTCGCCAAGAGAGAGAGAGAGAGAGAGAGAGAGAGAGTGAGAAGGGAGTCACCCCTGTGCACGTACGACGTCAAAATACAAAACGACAGACTATATAACACGCGTACGTACGAACGTCTGTTGCAGGAATTTGCTCCGGTTTGCGAGAGGTGCGCATCCAGATACCGACGGCCGTGAAGAAAGGTGACCCGGCGATACTGAACTGCTGGTATGACACCGAGGGGGATCTTTTATACGCCGTCAAGTGGTACAAAGGGGGTCAAGAGTTTTATCGCTACGCCCCGAACGAGATCCCGGTCGTCAAGACTTTCCCCATCGGGAACCTGACGGTGAAGGTGAGCATCGTGTCTGTTCTGTCTCATACCCTCTCGCCGCACGACTTTGCACGCTCGACCTCGTCTCCACGCCAGCCTACCACCTCTTCGGTGGTTGCCGGTGCTCCCCTTCCAGTAATTTATTTATGCAACGAACCCTGTCGATTCACTCGGTCGCGCAGACGTTAAGCTCGCCGATGCGAATTGAAAGCGAAACGTTTCGTGAATCCAACTTTGTTGCCTCGCGAATCTTTCGGTTAAATAAAGACGATAACTTTGGCCCAAAGTTTGTCCCCGGTGGAAGAAAGGAAGTGAAAAAAAGAGAGGGAGAGAGAGATAAAAGAAAGGGAATAGATCGGTTATTCGAGGATTTATCGCGACGTGGGATGGTCGGATGGAACAATAACCGATCGTTGTAAAATACGACGGAGAGATATCGCCCTCTTTCGCGAAACTTTGAGCCGTTGGTTTCGTTTAATGAACAGAGGGAGGCCACATCGTCAATTTCGTTCAAGAATTATTCCGAATGTTCCGTTTTACGAGCGTGTTTCGAGCGAAGACTTTTGCGATCATACCCAGCACGATCTCGTAAACGCGGCTCGTTTTCTCGTTGGATGGCCTGGAGTGCGTAACTCGTCAAGGATCGATGCGTCGAAATAATATCGCGAAAGTTGCGGTAACTCGACTCTCTCGATTCTGCTGAAATATCACTCAATTTTTGGAAGCGATAGAACTCTCTTTGCTACGAGAAACGGCAGCTTCGTACGAGGCGAGACGAGAAGTTACAGTAATTTTTTATGAAATTAAGCCGGTAAATAGGGAATTAAGGAACGTCTCGTTGGTGGGTGGGTGGGTTGGAGCTTCGACAGCTTAGAATATTCGGGCGATAAAAGGGGTGTTTTTATGCGGTAGCGCGTAAAACAGCGACGAGCTGGAAAAGCTCGTTTCGAGGGGGAGTAGTGGCTTAACGGCAGCCAGTCGTGGTCTTGTAATCGTCCGACCCGAATTTTAATCCCACCGGGGCACATCTTTTTTCCACCCCCTCTCGCTTTTCGACGGTGCTCCTCTCATCCTTTCTTCGAAACCAGTGCTCGCCTGCAAAAGACTGATTAGATCTCCCGTTTATTCCAAGGAGCCGCGGGAAATTCGTTTTCGAAAGCAAAACGTAAAAGCGTAATAGCAGTTTCCTCCTTTTTTCCGTTTCTCTTTTTCTTCCAAACCGCGCTTTCGAAAAATGAAGCTCGAAAATTCTCCCTCGCTGATATCATACGCTTCAAAGCGTACGTTTCACCAACTTTGATACACCGAGTTCTAATTAGTCTTCGAGAAGTCGTGGAAGAAGGTAAAGTTGGAAAAGAAACAGACCAGGGCTGCAGTCGGAGGCTTGTACATCACGCAGTCCGGGATTGGCTGGTAAAAGAGTGTTATTTAAAGCGCCGGAAGACAGTTTCGATTCAGCTTGATTCGTATAGCTTTGCACTTTCTCGGCGACTTTCACAGTACATTCCCCCGCGATAATGTTATTAGATGTTATATGTACAATTCTGGTACAAGGACAACAATTATTCGAATTAAAATCACGAGACGAATTGAACTTGACACGATAGCAATGCTCGTAGAAGTAAATATTTCCAAGCGTCCTTCTCGTCGAAAATGAAGCATCGTCGAAAATTTTTAACTGGAGCGATGGAAAGAAACAAGTTACTAAAAATCGCATGTCGATGGAATTAGTATTGATCTTAATAATCACAAAAATCTGATGAAATTAATATACATTTAATATAAAATGTGGTTCCGTCTTGTAAGATCTTATAGAAAGCGGCGTTGATATTAACAAATATCAACTATACTCAAATAAAGTATTTAAAATCTGTCATTTTGCCAGACTTTGGCCGGATTTGGTAGCTCTGACAGCGCTGAATATGGAACGAGTCGTCAAATATTTGTATAAATAGACAAACGTGGAGATCTAATATCCGGACCCGATCCTCTGTTTGTCCAGTTCCGATTGAAAAATCACCTCGCCGGGGCGATCGAACCAGAGGAGGATCTTCCGGTTTCTTGGCCGATGAAACAATACGGCAAATGGTAGACGCGATCCTACCCTATCGACGGAGCGGCACAGTTAATCCGATTGCTGGCGTTAAATGGCCGTCGCGTTTTTCGCCAAACGCGAAAATGAATGTTTGTTCAACACGCGCGGTGAATTCGATTCACCGAGACCGAGACAATCGAGTTACACTCTTGAAACTAGAAACGCGTTCTGGAAAATGCGAATGCGCGCGCGACACTTCGTTAAAGTGAAATTCGCGAAACGCGAACGTTCGTTGGTGATTTCAGGGCTAACCAATCAACCCTTCCCTCGCCACCGTTGCGTTGACACGCGTCCATTAGACGATCGAATCAATCGTCTGTGTAATCTGTGTATTTTCGCGAAAGCTGATGATGAAAATCAATGTAATTTTTTTTTTTTTTTCGAAAAGGGGGATAAAACCACCGGCGAAATACAATTTGTCTCCAAGCTGTCAGTCTTTCGCAAACAAGGGGAGGTGGCAGAGGGCGGCACTCGCCATCCCGAAACGGAAAAACGAATATTACTTCCCCTCAGTGCCGTTTCAAACTTCCGAACAAACTATACGCGAAGCTTACAACGGTTCCACTAACTGAACAAATACATTTTAATCCTCTGCAACGCGCACACCGGTGTACAACGTAACCGGTGTGGCAGAAGCTACAACCCTCACGCGTGTCTCTATTTTTTTTTTTTTTTTTTTTTTTTTTTCAAATCTTCTTTCATTTATTTCAACACCGCGCCGCTGTACATTTTGTCACCGTTGCACTGCTGCACCGTTGGCCGGCTGGCAATCTGTTAAGTGATTCCATAAGTAATTTCGCGTTCGTACGTAACGTGTTTGACAATAGAGTAGAAACGCGCGGTTTATTCGTTCCTTTTTTTTCTTTCTTTCTTTCTCTCTTTCTTCTTTTTAACGAACAACGAAAATCTGTTGCTTTTTTTTTTTTTTTAGAACCGCGTTTGATCTTCCTGGCTGGCAGTTTTTCGATTTTCCCTGGCGAAGATCTCGATCGGTAGTTGCTCTACCCATTGTGCCAATACCCCGCCGTTCATCCTTTGTATCAATTTGCAGGTTTCGCGCGTCACTTTCGTATCTGCCAACGAAGCGACAGAAAGAAGAAAAAAAAAAAAAAAAGAAGGAATAAAAATAATTCGCGACAATTTCTCGCCGTTCGTGTCCCCGATTGAAATTCAAAGCGGCAATCGAGCGCCTTCGGATTAGAAGCGGCGCAAACAATTAGAGCGCGCGCGAACGGAAATTTCCTGCCATAAAGTGGATAATCGTTTCGCTCCCCCTCCAAACTCCTTTCGAAAGCCACGAACGAATGGCGGCCGCTGAAATTTCGCATTCTAACCAACGCCATAAACACACGGCTAGCTAGCTAGCTGGCTGGTTGGCTGGCTGGCGTCGGTTTGCTACTGTCGCCTTTTTTGCTTTTTTTTTTTATTTTATCAGCCCCAGTAAATCCGGCGGAAACCGCGTCCCGCCGTCATTTACCCCCCCGAGCGAATTCTCGCCGCGGGGACAAGTCTACGCGCGAATAAATCGCGAGGTGTCACGAAATTCAGCGTAACCGGCCGTCGGAGCGTCGTTATCCAGCGTAATGTTGCTCGTAAACTGCGCGGAAAGCCAACGTGCGGTTCGCGACGGTGACATCGAGTGGCTCTCTCTCGCAATCGATTCCGCAAGGAGACAAGCAAGAGTTTGCCCGGTCCACCGGGTACGACTCGTCTTTCTCGTCCCCTCGTTTGCCCTCGCGGCTCGATCAGCGACGAAACAATGCGACGAGTTGACCGCCACCCCTTGTGTTTCCGATCGATTGATCGATGCTCTCTCGCGGTTATGCCTGCCGGTCGTTCGGTTTTTCCCTCTTCTTTGTCTCTCTTTTCTTTCTTCCTTTTTTTTTTTCTTTTTTTCGTTTTGTGTTTGCTCTTTTTTTCTTTTCATACGGCGGTACGCACAGGTTGCTCGCGCACGGACAGGCAGTGTCATAAATCCACGACTGTCAGAGCCGATTCACAGGCATCAAAGATGCAGAATCGGTTGCGACAAAAGACTAGTCGCAGAGTGGAAACTTGGCTGCGATTGAACGACGATTGGTTGGGGAACGCGACGTGGTTTTAGGCGATAATTAAGCCTGACAAGTTTCGCTAACGAGTATCTAATCAGAAAGATTTGAAAATAATGAATTTTTTATCACGCAAAGATCAAGATTCCAAGATTTTATGGGCAATTTGTGTTTCGTAAACAAATGTTCAAAGAAATTTACTAATATTTACTCGGAGGAACTTATAAAAACTATGGTTCGTTTTTAATATCACCAAAGGTTTTCTGCATTCGTTGCTTAAAAAACACCAATTTCATGAATTTATACAAAAACGTTGTCTTCAATAATTTCCGAGATATTTGACAAAATATGTTCCGCATCCCCAAATTTGAAGTTTTCACCTTTTCGACATCGACGATTGCCGATAAAAAAAAATACGGGTCAAATATTTTTTCGAAAACTAAATTTATGCCAAATTTCATCAAAATCGGTGAGTTCTCTTGAAAGAGAGGGAAGCTCCCCCACGTGCGATATAAATATTAGAATAATATTAATATAGTAAGAGATAATATTAATAATATTAATATGGTAATCTCAATATAGTAAAAGAACCACAGACAGAACACAAGAGACCAAGTCAAGGATCAGTACTGATCACTCCATGAATTACTCACTCTTGCATTCTCTCGAAAGATTGCCAACTTGCCGATGTGACGTATGCAACGTCACAACCTCTGTAGAATCTCTCTATTTAATCTCACTTAATTGCACCAAGTACAACTGGAATCATCGCTTGAAAACAGAATCTGAATGAACAGAAAAATTCGTGAGCCACTTGATCGCCGTCAGGTCGCGATCCAAATTAATTTATCACCTACTATGACTCGTACTAGTAACTCCTTTGTGGCTACACATTTGCAGCCGATGCGCGCAATTGCGTTAAACGCAAATTTGAAAAAGAAAGGGGACGAGAAGCTGCAAATGGAAAGTCAATTCACGAAAGACAAGAGAGATACGATCGAATGATACGACACGATAGTGTGATTGAATGGCGGCGTGATCGTCCTTCGTCGATGTAATTACACGCACAATTGGCGTCAGTGTCTTCGCGTAGGGAGAGACAGAAGAAAGAAAGCCGGATTGTTGTGGAAATACTGTGCGGTAAATAGGGGTAGACTGTAGGCCTTGTAGGTGACAATGGGAGACAAAAGACACTCGTCGTCATTGTTCACGTCTGTTGCGCACCTGCGCCATCAGACTCGTCCAAACTTGGCCAGGATCCGAATGAATGGGAATCAAACGCGTATGGATTTCAATTCTTCAGGCTGTACGCGTCCCTCACTGGACACGTTTGTTTAACGATCAACTTTGTTAACCGCGACTCGCGCGCACGACAAAATTAATCTCCCCTCCCCCTCCCTCCTGGTAAAACGTCGAGTATTTTTCATTTATCTTCTGCGTTCTACGTGGAACGTTCCCACGGATTAATTATACCGCTCGCACGTCTTTTGTTTTCAACTACTAATGGAACCGAAATTGCGCTAAACAAATGGAATAATTACAGCGCCGTGTCAAAAGCCTTAGACCATTCCGCGGAACGGAAATGTTTTGTTTTTGTGAATGAGCGTGAGGATTATCTCAACGTTGCAGCTGGCAACGTGGCAGTTCAGAAATGAACAGTTTCGGGTGCGAGGGGGATGAAATTTTCGGGAATTTACAACTTGGGAGTGTAATCGTGTATTATAAAAAGAAATGAAAAATATATATATTCTATTTTCTGGCTGGCTATAAAAGAAGCGTACACCGACTCGCAAAAGTCTCCGCGTGCTATAAAAACGGTCGTTTCCATCAAAATAAGACGCTATAAAGTTTCAGCGGAAAACAGAGTGCGTGCAAACAAAGAGCTGCTTTATTGTTGCCTTGTGTACGTGTTGAAAAAGAAACGCGCGACGTAATATACGGCTCGCGTAAACGGAAATGGCTCTTTTGCACAAAGCGTGCCAAAATTTTCACAGACCGCCGCGGGAATTCAAAATCGCGATTCTCCAGCGTAGAAAAAGAAAAAAAAAATCTCTCCCGTCCCATTCCCTCTCTTCTTCCTGTTTTTCCAAGAGGAACCTCTTCCTTCAGCCCGATGAAAGTCGTGCATCGACGAGCTCCAAGAAAGACCCTTTGAAAAGAGCGAGAAAAGTGAGCGTAGCAAGCCTGGCCCCAAGGGCCAGGACTGTTACGAGAGAAAAGAGACTACGATACACGATTGACTACATACATATATACGATTCTCTCTGTTGCAGAAGAGCGAGAGCAACGCGACCCGGGTCGTGCTGACGAATCTGGAACTGGACGCGGCGGGTGTCTACAGTTGCGAGGTGTCTGCGGACGCACCTTCCTTCCAGACGGCCTGCGTTCAAGGCACCATGAACGTCGTCGGTAAGGAAACGTGTTTACTAATCCTACGGCGCGAGATTTCAGCCACTTCATCGCCCGCTATAACGTACAAGATGGAAAGAAATGGTCTGTCCGTGGCTACGAATTCTACACCTTTTACCTACCTTGAATTTCAAGGTCAAAAAAGATCTTTTCCTACATTGTATTCTATTCATCACGAAGGTAAAACTTTTCCGAGAAGCCATAGGTCGCAACCTAATAGTTCTCAATCGTTTAACATCGTGGACGCGTGGGTTCTAACAGCGACTTTATGATTCTGAACGCGTGGAATGTTTATATCGAAGAATGTCGACAGTTAGTTTTATCATTTGATTATTTAGACTCACACTGACGCTACAACTATGATAAATCAAATGAAACTTAATATGAAAATTACGTAAAACAGACATCCACGCGTTCAGAATCATAAAGTCGCTGTTAGAACGCACGCGTTTGCAGTGTTTCATCATTTCTCGAGAGAACTATTAGGTTGCGACCTACGGTTCCTTGGAGATGTTTCACCTTCGTGATAAGTAGAAGACAACCCAAAAAGAAATTCAAGGTCGAGATCAGGTTCTTTCCATGTATCTTCACCAAATCGAAGGTGTAGAATTCACTTGCGATAGTCGATGACAAACCTTCCTTTCCAGCCAGTACAAGGCACATGGAATGAGATACGTATATCATCGATATACGTACGTATGTAGAAGCACGCGCGCGCGTACATAGCCGAGGCTGTGTTAGGTCGCGAGCGCACTTTCGAACTACGAATTAATGCCAGCCACCGGGCTCGGCGGACTTAAAGGCTTACGCGAATCGCTGTGGACCGAGCCGAAGATAATACTGCGGGTACACGCGGCGGAATGAACGGGAATTAGGTGTCTTAGGCGCCCAGGGGAGCGAAGCTACCCCGCGGTTAAGTTTTCTTGCTCTTCTTTCTCAACCCCTCGCCGCTCACCCTTTTCGCTCGTCCAGCTTTTCGAACCGGCTGCACGATGAATTTCACACCGCCTGACAGACGATGCCAAGACGCGACCAAGCTGACTGCTCGAATTTGTAGTTCGACGAATATTGCCAAACTATTTTCTTTCTAAAACTGATACTCGATGTCGTGACAAATATCCAGGAGAAACGAAAGACGTCAATATTCAGCGAATTCAGAAATCAACTTTCTCGATCGTTGACAGAGAATCGATGCCACAAACACCGGGGAATTATCATTCTGACGCGTCGATTTATACGCGATTGCCGTTCGTTCGAGTAGAATTATGGTTTCAACGAGCACTTTACGACGTCGTTACGCGTCCCGCGTCCGCGTTAACAGGAAAATTGTAGGCCACGGAGAGAGACACAGGCATTTCCAAATTGCGCGCGGAAGAAAATACGATTAAAGCAGCAATCGTTGGTAAAAGTAAGACAGAATAGACCGGCTGCGAACGCGGACCAAAGGCGGCGGTGTCGGTTAAAGCGAAATAAGGCTAATGAACTGCAACGTTCCCTCCACTCCTCTGAAGCCTGAGAGTGGGGTACCGGAACGGTTCTCGAACTTTACGGGAAGTTCCGCGCGTACACGCGCGCAAATTATTGAATTTTCATAAACCAATCTGTTTTTGATTCATTAACGGCCGGGAACGACGAACAACGGTGGTGGTGGGCGGGGAATATATACACGATCGTCGGCATACATTACCGCCCGCAAGTATTCGCCAGACACTTTGCTCGATTTCTGGTAACGGTATTTGAATTTCAACCGAGAATTGCCATCATCCTTTTACAGAACCGAACGACCATCGATTTAAATCGCGTGTTAAAAAGTGTGTTTCCCTGTTTCACACATAAAGACGACTCGTTTTAAATATATACAGTAGTCCCCGGTTCAGGATCGAACGTGGAGAGTTAAGAGGGGTGGTATAAAATAATGGAGATGTTATATGATATCAGGCGGCAAATTCCAGTATCGTTTACTACGTTATTAGTTGTTCGATTGTAAAGAAATTTAACATTTTAACATTTCTTTTTTTTTTAATTAAGTACAGTTAAATTATTTTATAAATCCCCTTTTGCTAGTGGACGGATTTAAATCGCCAGGCGAAGTTCAAATTTACATGTTTTCATATAAATTATTGTAGTTCCTATATTTTCGAAGTTAATCAAATCAAATAAAGACTCAAAATGAAAAGAGAGAAACCGTCGATATATCGGACATTCGGCTTTCTCAGATATTATATATAGGTGTCGATATATCGGACGTTAGTACTTAGAAGGTTAAACTTAATACGTACATAAACTAAATAAAACAATAAATTATAATAATTATAACTTTGATTCGAAACAATCACAATGCGCCGAAATATCAATATATCACTTGTTTTGTATTGCGTGAGTGGTATGTTCCACGCGGCCATAGAGTGGGAAGAGAGTCCCAATTTCAAGAATTGATGGGGATAGCGGCGGACACTTAACCGGGGACCACCGTATACATCTCTTTTGCGCTATCTTTTCGTTTCTCGTTAAAAACGCGAATTCAGCCTACGTAACGCATATCGATTTCAATCATCTGTGCCGTGCAATAATTGAATTTGTTCCTGAATTACCGGAATTACGATTTCGTTGCTGATACATACGTAATACTGACGTGTAATACTCAAACAAACGAATACACGCTCCCCGTATAATGACGACGAAATAGTAGATTAAAATTCAGAGACAAATAACATTATTATTGCGGTATCAGATAATTGGAACGTGATTCGCGTTGCTGCGTCATTAAACTCTTTCTTTCGCCAACTTCGAAATATAAAAGAGACCCGATACTCTCATTTTCTTTTTTTTTTTTTTTTTTTCCAATTTGAATCGAACAAAAGGATCTGATAGCGAAAAGCTTCCACCGCTAGCTGAAATCAATTCCGCTGCACGCACACGTATATGGACAAGGGTCTGGATGGACATTTTTGAACAGCAACAACGACAACGTACCTCGACATGTACATCTAAATAGATCCCTGTCGCGATTCCCTCTTTACATAAATATTCACTTTCGGCACTCGGCGCCGATTTATTTTATTCATTTCTGCGTTAACGCGGGGCGAGCGCAAGAGCTCGATCGAATTAACCGGTGTTTTTCCAGAAAACGACACCGCGCCGTTCGAATTACAAATGGACGAACACTGCAAGAACACCGATTGTATCGAATTCTCTCTCTCTCTCTCTCTCTCTCTCTCTCTCTCTCTCTCTGTCGCTGTTTGCACTTGGCGTTTTCCCGTTCGTGAATCGAAATCGTCGTTGCGAAACTTTTGTCACGATCCTTTATTTCCGGCCGGTAGAAAAATTCCCTTCGCCGATACCGCACCGCGGCGGCAAGTTCTCGCGCGGAGGAATTTATCGTATGAAACCCTCGTCGCGCCGATATTTATACTCGGGATATTTTTATTACAGAGAAGCATCGAAGGATTCGAAATATCCGTGAAACGGAGCTTCCTCGTTCCTTCCCCGGTTGTCCTCGTTTAGTTTCCCCGCAGGCGCGGAATCGCGCGAGACGATATTTCGCGCGGAGGAACGCGGAGTGAAAGAAAGAGAGGGACAGAAGAAACTATGAAATTCTGTTTTCGGGAGGAAAGAGCGCTCCTCGCGCCTCGATGGAACATCCTCGCGTCTCGCACGCAACGAAACGCTTACAACGTCCTCTTGCCGGATTTTTTCAACTTTTAATAAGTCTCAAATTTCGGGGGTCTCGCAGGACTTTCTTCTTTTCTCTCTCTCTCTCTCTCTCTCTCTCTCCGCTCTCCTCCTTTTCGTTTCTCGACGAACGCGCGCGCGAGCGGGGCTGCTAGTCACTTGAATTCTCTGTCTGGCAGAATAATAAAAAAAAAAAAAAAGAAAAAAAAAATAGAGAGAGAAAAAAAGAAAAGAAAAGGAAAAAACAACAAACAGTCGGCAAAACAGGGAAAAAAAAGAATTGGAGAGGCTGTCGCAAATCACGAAAACGGTAGGAAACAAAGGAGGGTAGGATAAGAGGGGTGAAAAAGAAGAGAAACGCGGAATCCGTGTGCTTAAACGGTCCCGTTGTATCCACAGACGGAAAAACAAAACTCGCGATGCTCGCGCGCGTATCTTTTTCCTCTGTGTCCGTACGCACACACGTATGTACAGGGTGTTCCAAGATTTATTAACAACCAAACTTTACGCGTTCCGAGAAGTTATTTTTCGCTGCTTTCTTGTCATTTCATTGCGCATGTGCGCGACTAACGTTCAGTTTTTAAAATCGAATGACTCACGACGACTCTCGTTAATATTCGGACACTGTTATAATTTTGTAAAAAGAAAACAAACAATTGGTAGACCTGGACTCAAGTTCCAAAGTGTGTTGTTCTGACAATTTTATTCTGACAATGAGACGTTGTTACATTATGTAGCAGACGAGAAAGTGGAGACACATTTCTTCTGGAAAATGCTAGAAATTTGTCACGTCGTTGAAAAATCTGTTCCACGACTGAATCTGCAACAGATTTCAAGATCGAAGTCCCGCTTCAAGTTTTTGGACGTCGTTGCAGCAGAAGGGAGGCTTCAATCTTCAAATCCATTGCAGTTTCAGTCACGAAGAAAATGTTTTCAACGTTTTCACAATACTCTGGCGATTCGTAGCATTTCCGAGAGGAAATGTGTCTTCGTTTGTTTTATCGGTAGACTGCGCATTTTTATGCAATTATAAGAAATGTTGAGATACGAAAATTACGAACAGTGCCGTAATAATATGAGAGAATATATATAAAATATCCAAAGTAAACAATAAAACATAATACAACTTGCTATGTGAAAGATCAATCTTCTTCGAAATATTCTTAAAAATACGAATTTGCAGGAAAATCCGCGATCGGTTTAAACAAGTTAGCGTAAACGAGGTCTCGTTTGAATTATTTCTCCTCTGTCGAACTAGCATCGAGCATCGGTGGAGACAACCACGCGAACCATCCTGTACAACGCGAGGCACACGCCTATCGTCGGCAACGAGGCGAAAAAATATCAAACGCAGCCCAGTTCGAAAACACTTCCCGTGGAAATATTTGGCAGTACGTGTGTATGCTCTGAAAGGGGTATCGGGACAATGCTGTCTCTCTTACGAATGCATTATTCCGATATCGAAACGCGAACGCGAATTGCCAGGCATGAAAGAAGAATTTTTCATCAGGCAGCGCGGGGCCGGCTTGTGTGTCGTGTGTCGGGTGCGTTTGGTGAGGAACAGACACAGAGAGAGAGAGAGAGAGAGAGAGAGAGAAGGAAAGAGAGAGAGAGCCGGCTAGGAACTATCGGCTCGTTCCATGCAACACACTCGTTGGTTGCCTGCATCCGGGAATCTTGAAAAGTTTTCCCTTGCATCCAGCCATCCGCGATGCGCTCATATATATATATGCGTGTGTGTATATATATCTATATATGTTATATGCATGTACACACACGTGTGTACGTACGCGTGTGGCGCGCGCACACAGACACGTAGGAAACGGCCGAACGTCAAAGAGGCGTTTCGAACATGCTTCGCATACTTCCGGGACCCGTGTGTACCTGACGTCTCTTGTTCCGCAGAATTACCCTCTCAAGGGCCGTCGATACATGGGTTAAGGAGGAAATACCGGATCGACGATATGCTACGTTTGAACTGCACATCCGGACGGAGTAAACCCGCGGCCAATCTCACCTGGTACATCAACAGCCGACAAGTACGGTTTGGTATCACGAAATCGTGAATAGCGGACTGCGAAATTCCTAAACCCTGACCAACCGATGTCTTCCCTTCTACCGCTAGCTACCGATTCTCCATTCTCTGGCTCCTGTAAGACGTAACCAAAGCCCACAGCCCATTTTGCTCGCTGGTAGAGCGCGCTTTTCCCCATTTAATCCGACCTGGCTCTCATCCTCCCAGGCTGCACGTTACGCGGCCGACGCATTGGCCAGGGGAACGCAGTTGGCAGAATAGCGAGTCTGAGATTTTGGAGTTAATTGTTATACGAGGCCAGTGTATGCGGTGTAGGTGAGCAATTGTGAGCTACAGCTGCGCAGTTTGACGTGGCTCGTGCCACGATCGCTCATCGAGGGGTCAAAGTTGCGTCAATGCGACGCGACGGTTCCGCTTCAATCGGTCTCTGCCTCGCGGGTCCATCTCCAGCGTCGAGTTTTACGCTGCGAAAAGGCAGATTCTCTTATTAAACGTATTAAACACCTCACTTTTCTCGCGAGAGAGTTCTTTCTTTTCTCTTTTTTTTTTTCGCGGTGATTCCGCAATTTCGCGAAATTCAATGAAATTACGCGCCGTCTTTCTTTTTCTTTTTTTAAAGTCTTCCGTAATTAAATTCACTTCATGAATTTAAAGAAAAAAAAAAAGATCTTTCGAGCATAAACCTATCTTATTTTCTATTTCCCCGAAAGTATTTTCGAACGGAATATTCCCTTGACGCGTAGCCAGGACGAGCCATTGATCGCGTCAAATTCTCCCGGCTTTTATCCTCCGTCGAAACGGAACGGAATTGAATTAAGAAACTGAAATAAACGTACGTCGCGGTGAGAGGAGGCACAATCGGAATTACGGTCGTTTCACCGCGTCTTTCGCGGCGCTCATCGACGCGCGAAAGATGTCGATCGCGTCGAACACGCGTTTTCATGTCCAATTTGCTTCGTTCTAACCTTAACGCACGGTGAAATTGAACGATACAGAACGGATCGGAATTGAAGAATTTCGAGCCCGACGCCGCGCAAATATTACCGTGGAACAAGCTGCAGACGTAAAATACGCGAACAGACGGGACTATCGTCCCATCGTCGATATCGAATTTGGAACAATTCATTTCCCACCCTTCGTAATTTATTCAGCTGCACCCTCGTGTCACTTTAACCTTTGCCCTTCTCCTTTTTCTAACTCGAGTTCCGAATAGCCGAGCATTCAGCTGATCAAATTCCAGCCTCTATTTAGGTACGCGTATAATCTCGAGGAAAGATTCGTTGTTTGAACTAGAACGGCCGAGTGTCGTCGACCCTACCCCATTTTTAAACGTTAATACGCTATCCGATACTAAATCGAGAGAATCATCTGTCAAAATGTCATCGTGGCCCTGTTATTAATCGATCCTTCAATTGCTCCCAGTCTGGACACGGGCTTGGAAACGGGCCTGGGAATAAAATATTCAGATCATATCGTCGCGAAATTTTTTAATGGAACGACGTTTCCTGTTTCGCGACGCGGTGAAAAAAAAAAAAAAACATTTTATTTCGGCACCGCCGCTGCCCGAGATGAAAGCGCGCTTCATGTCCCGATCAGAGGGAGGCGCGGAAATTTAATTCTCCAATGAAACCCCCGTGTCGCCCGTGTTTTTCGCCCGTTTCCGTTCCTTCGGCGAATAACGTATCGCAAAACGAGCAACGTTGTGACAAAAAATTAAGGAAAAGATACAACGAGGAGAGAAAAAAAGAAAAAAAAGAAGAAAGATGAGAGAACGAAAAAAACGATCGGAGTTCCTTTGACGTTGTAACGACGGCGTTATCAAAACACCGGCGTCCTGTGGAATCGCGCTTGTCTATCAATTCGGTGCTACGTGCGTTCCCGCCGATAAAATCGCATTGTTGCTCGGAAACACCGATACTTTTGACGTGCACGCCCCTCTTTATCAGCATTTTAGAGTGACAGAAGCTGGGCTCACTTTGTCTTCTGGCTTTCACGCCGCGGCGTCGACTCTTTCAAAATCCTTTATTAAAAGGAATTATTAGAAAATTGATGGCTCAAAAAGAAATATCTGGAGCGAGACTATCAAAGTTGTCGAGTCGAGTATTTTTTTGTAGATGCATTTTTCTTTTCAAAAAAAAAAAAGAAAAAAAAATTACCCCCAACTTTTCGTCAAAATGCTTTCTTTTAAATTCAATCGATTGGCCTCTTCTGCTCGGAACGTTCAGAAAAAACTCATTAACCGTTCCCAGACGAAAGATATCCCACAAAGATACCCCTAAACGTCGTAGAAACCTCGTTTACTGAAAACGCTCGGGGCGCGATTAGCGAATTCCTGGGTTCGCGGGGGCCAATTAATCGGCCCGAAATTGGCCCCTTAAATCGATATACATTCGGCGACATACGGATTAATTATCGGCGAGCAGAATGCCCCCACGGGAGCCAGAGAATTTTCACGGACGTCGACAGGCCACCTGTTTAACCTGTTCACACCAATTGTCACACGCAGCCGCTGAAGTCGCACGTCCGCACGTACAGTCCCTTGGACACCAACGAGTCCGAGTGGCAGATTTCCCAGATCGGCCTTCAGTTTCTCGTTACGCACGAGCATTTCGCCGAGGGCAAGCTGAAAATACGGTGTAGCGCCTCGATATATGACATTTACTGGCAGAGCACCGAGGTTAGCACCGAGGAGGACAGGCCGAGGGTGATACACTACGAGCCAGCGGCGACCATAGTCGGCATCAACTACTTGCAACCACCACCCAATTTCCAAACCGGTCAGAAGAAACCCGACGGCCAGGTCGGAGTCAAAGGTAAAACAAGTTTCTTCCAATTGCTTGCCATCCTCTTTTTTTCTTTCTTTCTTTCTTTTTGTCACTTTTTTCTGCGAATCTTTTTTTATTTCTCCATTGCTCTCCAAGTATAGATTCTCGAATGTATTGAAAGTTTAACAAGTTCTGGGTTTTAAGTTCAGTATTTTCTTCCGTCAATTGGTGACGAAATTCAGATCGAGATGACGAACTTTTCGCGACGTGATTTTTTTTTTTTTTTTTGCAAAAGTATCAGCACGATCTTTGTGAAAACGAATCTAGGTTTTACGTTTTACTATCAACCCTCGAGAAGTATTTCTTTTCTTTTTTTTTTTCATTTCGATTCGACGAAACTGAAATTGAGATGGACAATTTTCGGAGATCGCAACGTGATTTTTGCAAAGATATTAGAAGCTAGAAACCTATTCTTTCGTGAAGGTTTCAGACATTATCAATCTTCGAGAAGTGTTTGTTTTCTCACTGATTTCACGAAACTCAGATCGAAATGAAAAATTTTTGAAGATCACTGCACAAGTTTGTAAAGGTATTAGAAGCTAACAAATGTGGGTTCTAGGTTCATTATTAAATATCATCAACCCACGAAAAGTATTATTTTCTCATCGATTCGACGAAATCGAAACTAAGATCGAAATTAAAAATATTTGTAGATCGCTACACGATATTTGTGAAGGTATTGGAAGCTAATATATCTAGATTTTAATTCATTTTATTATCAACTCTCGAGAAGATTTTTTTTTTTCTCATCGATTCGACGAAATCGAGATCGAGATGGAAAATTTTCGGCGATCTCGTGCAACTCGATCTTTGCGAAGAAAAAAAACAAACGTTATCGAGTTCTTCGAGGTTTCCTGATGTTTCTAACTCTTGCGGTGTTTACAAGAAGGGAGGGCTTCAATGGGAAACATTTCTGTCACTGATTGGACTTTACGTAGTTATACTGTTGGGGGTTGGTTTACAGACGCTGGGGTTCATGCCTTTCCTTTTCATTGGTTATTTAGAGAAGATTTATTGGACCGAGATAATCATGTTTGATAAGCGTTAAGGACTTGGTACTTTGGAAAACGTAGAATTACTACGGATTAAAGTGTGACGATAAGTTTTGGGAATGTTAAAGTATGAAAGATTTCGAACAAAGATCTCGAATACTGGGATTAAACTCATGTATATATGGGATACAAAACTCATGTATATATAATGTACACGAAATTATACTATTAAATTGAAGAAACCGAGACGATTTGTTCTTCAAAAAGTTACCATTTCACCTGTAGTAATATATCAATTAACTTTGTCAGAAAAATCTTGAAAAATATTTATTCTAGATTTTTGAGAAACTGTGCGGAAGCTACAAACACTTTAAATTGGATATGTTTCTGCGCTTGTCTTTGAATTAATACTCGAAAAGATACGATCTTTCTTCGAAAACTTTGCCGTTACTACGTTTACGATAGCGCGCTGTTATTTCCATCGGAAACATCGTCGCGTTTTACCCGACGGGGCTCCCGTGTATACACTCCCAATCCTCAATTAGCGCAAGCAATTACTTAAGCCCCCCGAAATCCACGGCGTAAGCTCGGTCGTGTAACGAATTCAAACCGTGTCATTTCTACGGGAAGATTGAAAGCACCGGCAGGTTTCAGACCTCGGGCAACATCTTAAACGTAGTTGAAACAAAAAAGAAAANAACAAAAAAGAAAAAAAAAAAAAAAAACAAAAAAGAAAAAAGGGAAAAAGAAAAAGAAAGAGAGGAAAAAGGAAAAAAAATCTATACGAAGCTCGGTTGAAAAAGCTGGTCGCTGATCGCGCGCAAGAATGCGCGTTATCGGGGTGATTTCAAATTCCCTGCTCGAATAGCGGTGGCATTTCAAGCCACGGCAACACCTCGAGACTTCCGGCCGCGTTTCACAGATTAATAAAAGTCTGCTAACCAACTTCCGAGCAGTTGTCTGTCATTCTTGTTTTTCTCTCCCTTCTTTTCTTCGCTCTTGTAAACGAGTCGACCGTGCAATGACAATCGAGCATCCGCCCGTTTGTTGTCCATCTCCGCGAATGATCCGGCCGGTCGAATTATCCTGGTTAACGTCAAATAGCTCGGCACGCCATCAAATAATTCGTTTCACGCCGGGCTAATCCGGCGGGCTGCGGCAAAGATAATTCCCAGCGTATTCCCAGGATTATTTGCTGCGGCTTTGGATTATTTGGCGTCAAGTGAGCCGCCACACTTCGCTTCGCTCCCTCTCGACGAAAACGAGACGACGCGACGCGACGCGACGCGACGCCGACGAATCGCCGACAACAATAACCGCTCGCAACGAAACGAAAGCCACCAGACGCGGTAACATAGACAAATGAACAAGGGGCAGTCTCTCGGTTCGCGCGGAGGGGATTTTATACTTTATACTGATGACCCCGGCGGTGCCGGTCGCGATTCAATCGAAGTCATATCCGTCATCCAGTCACAGAAAAAGAAAAAAAAAAAAAAAAAAACAGAAGAAGAAGGAAAAAGACAAAGACACGAATTCGTTGTTCGCGCGGCTGGCAAAAACTTCGTTTCGTTGTTTGAGTTAGCTGTTTGCCTCGTTATAGAAACGGTCTCCTGCCAGTTTCCATCGGTAATTCCTCCCCCCCTCGTCGCCTGTTTCATCCATTCTTTCACCAGGCGTCCGCCTGCCGGTTCCTTTGCTCCCGGATCCCCGGGGCAAAACAACTTCTATCTAATAAGCGAAATATTCGCTCGTTAGACACAGGTACGTATACGTATCGATGGTTTCGCCAAAGCGAAATTCACGGACAGATTTGCGGGCGAATTAACCGCGCCGCCATTGCGAGTAATTGCCACGGCAAATAACGTTAATATATAATACATAATCCAGCGGCCGCCGAGTGTGTTTGCAACAAAGTGTAACACTATAATATAATATAATATAATATAATATAATATAATATAATATAATAGTAAACGCGGCGATTATTAACGATAATTAATGGCAGGCGTGTAGGATCCCCTCCCCGACGACCACCGGCACTACTTTATTTACCCTGCGGTCGTAGTTTGCGCGATTTACGTTGTTTCGAAACGCGTGCCGCTTTAAATTTGCTAAATTAAGCATCGTGAACAAACGATGCAACGTAAAAGGTGCTGGTAATGCTGCCGATTAACCGGTGTCATAATTAGGCGTCATTTATGCCGACAGATAGATAGATTGATAGGAAATGAAGGAGTGAGGAGAGACGAAAGAGGGAGAGAGGGAGAGAGACAGAGAGTTTCCCGTTACGGTCACGGTTCGCTCGCGGTTCGTTCAAATGTTATTCGAGGCCTCGGAGCGTGACTGGAGTAAGCCAGGTTGGTTAATTCACTCGCAGAGCATTGAATAATATTTGATCGAAGCCCGTGACTGGATCGAGACTGTAAATCAAGTCACGAGGGCCAACGAGGGGGTTAATTAGTGGGTCGAGCAACTCCAGCCCGTCGAAAGGCCAAAAATCACTTCTCTTTCCTCGTGTTATTTATCGTTTTGCCTCCGTGTCCAAGCGTACTGACTGACAGAGGAAAGAGAGAGAGAGAGAGAAAGAGAGAGAGAAATTTTTGTTCACTCGCAATAGCGCGTAGGAAATCCGTCATCCATCATCGTTCGAAAGCCGCGATCGAAATTCTATGACCTACATCCGGAGGCGGCTATTAAAGCATACCCTCAATTTGAATTTTTTCTCCCTCCCTCTCCCTCCCTCCCTCTCTCTCTCTCTCTTTCTCTCTATCTCTCTTTCTTTCTAGAGGCGTTATTATGCTCGGGAAGCGCGGTTTTATTACTTTCAATTCCCGGTGCTCAGCACCTACATCGCGCTGACTACACGGCGATGTATTAGCATGTAGAATGGCGCGAATTAATTCGGAAAGTTTCGCGCCTCTACGCAAAGGGGATGCCTGGTAACGACTCCCCGTTTTCCTCATTTCATTCTCCCATGAAAGGGAGAGCTGGCTGCCCCGATAAAAGAAAAGAAAGATGTCGATTGGTAATTTAATCTACGCGGCACTGATTCGAACGTGTATGCGCATGTATCGCGAACTCGTCGACAGACACTTCCCCCCGCTTGACGATCTGAGAAATCCAGAGTTTCGCTCGCGATCGACGATTCTCACTTTCTCTTCGATTATCTTCACCGCGTTTGTGATTATCGTGTCGCGTGTTGTCCCTCGGTGTTATCGTTAATTCCGGAGATTCGTTTGTGTCGGACGAAGCCCTATTTCGCGTTATTTTGTCGCGCAAATACGGGCAGAACGTGCGCAATTTAACTCCCCCTCCCGTTGCCAAGCTGGTTACCGCTCCGAGGCAAAAATTCATAATATTATCTGTTCAAACACCGTCGTAAAACGTAGTTTCGACCGTCCGCGATCGAAAGTTTCACTTCCAACCCGTTTCGTGCGTTGAGAAGTCAAAAGAAAGTAGTAGGCGAGTGTAAATTCATTTATTCGTCTATACGCGAGCGCGAAGCAACGATGATGATAGAACTTTGAGTGCAGCAGCCTGTGTGTTCTCTGTTTTCAGTTCTCGGCTCGTCCAGGTCGGAGATGCGGCTGCCGTCGGCGCGTCTGGTCCTGGGACTGTTCGCGTTCCTTTTGATCGCCATTCGTTAACCGTACCGCCATTCAACTATCGCGCGCTTTGGAGCTGTTTGTGTAAATCGACGTGTGCTTGTAAGGATGTCCAGGCCGCTTTTCGTCACTCTGTGTGTGACGATCATCCTCCAGCGACGCGCCCTGACCCCCCTCCCGCCCCCTTTTCTGGACCACAGCGCGAGAGGAAGGAAGAAGAGGAGGAACAGAGGCGAATTACACAAAATTTCACCGAAACCTGGATCAAAAGTCGATTGTTAACCGAGTTTTCGAGATCCCGGATCGAGATCGAGGCTGAAGGCGAGGGAGACGCGAAGGAGGAAGCAGAGGAGAGAAGCAATCGACAGGGGAAATTTGCTGGTGAATCGCGAGGAACCGGAAATGGCCGTTGCATCACGTTCATTTTGTCCATGATGATGATGATGATGATGATTATTATGATGATGATGATGATGATGATGATGATGATGATGATGATCAACGAACGAACGGGTGAAAAAAGGTATATTCGTGGATCGGCCAAGTGTAAAAAAAAATTCGAGAAGAATATCCGAAGAATATTTTATTATTAGACACTATGTATGTACTTGCTTCCTTTTCGGCAGAGATCGTCTGTGTTTGCAATGTGTAGATCATAAACGCGTAGTACCGTTTCACGCGGGCGCCATCGTTTCCAACGAGAAGAAAATGACATAGATACAAGTAGTTAGTTTTCTTTTTTCGTACTTTTATAAAACTCGACTCGAAGTACTAAACGCGCGCGCAACGTGTGCCGATATACATATATACATGTATATTCTATATAATATATATGTGTGTGTGTGTATATATAAATGTATAATCTGTCTCTCTATCGTTCTCACTGCCGTTAGATATTCTCACTGCCTTTGCGCTCTCTGTTTCTTTGACTCTGTCTCTCCTTTATCCGCGTGTCGATTTTCATTTCATTTGTTAAAAAAAGAAAAAAAAAGAAAAAAAGAAAAAAAAGGGAGAAGACGGTTCGACGACGATTTACACGATTCGCCTAAACGAAGAGAGAGAAAGAAAGAGAGAGAGAGAGAAACGAAGTAGAAACTGAGAAACTGTGTGTGAGCAAAGTGATGTACCTGATGAATCGGATATTCGACGAGTCATTTTCCGTTTGCCGTTGTTACGTTTGAATGTTCTTGCAAGCGAGGACGATGAACAAAGTCGTAGAACGAGATCCCTTCCCCGTACGAGAGTCGTTTGTCGTTGCAGGAAACCCTCGTGCGGAGAAGGTAGGCGGGAACGGAGAAAACAAAAGGGGAGAATAAAGAGAAAAGAGAAGAAATCCAAATAAAGGAAGGGGAAGAAATATTTCATTATTACTCCGCTTGGGGAAAACAAAAAAAAAAAAAAAACAAGAAAAGAAAAGAAAAATCCGATCGTTTGTTGTCCTTTCATTTTTCCGTTCTCTATCCACCACGTATACACCTACGGATCCCGTAATTTCATCCACAAGAGCTTATTACGCGTTCGGTTTATTAAATTAATACCCATTTACCGTTCGATTTAATACGTTTCCCACCGATACATTTGTCAACCGCGTTTGACACACCTCCGTACGTAACGAATAATAAAAGCGATTTACACAGTCACGTTCTGTTTACAATGAATATCGAGCTTACTGTTCTCCCCCGGCCTGCTTCCGGTTGGAACGTTGTTTCCTGTTGCTCATGCATCGGTGATATCGTTCGCCTCGGATCGGTACGCGCACAAATATCTATATCTTGCGACTTGCGTCGCTCGGACGTTCATTCGTTTATTTTTTTATTTGTCGTTTCGCAATAACGAGCGAGGCCATGAACAATTGAACGAAAAAAAAGATTGCGAGGTAAAAGACAAAAGAGAGAGAGAAAAAAAAAGAAAGAAGAGTTCGAAAGAAAAGATACGAAGAAAATCGTATATATATATGTATATGTATATGTATATTATGTATTAACGAGCGATGTGTGCTAGCATTAGTTACGAATTATCGATTAAGGATCGCAACGACTGAATAATACTCTATATATATGATTTTCTAATTGTAATAAGTATTTTTGAAACCGTCATCGTTTCTACGTAGTTAAACACGAGCCAGCGTTCGGTAGGGAACGTGTTTTCATTCAGAGAATTAGCCAAAGAGAGTAATAAAAAGAGCGAATAGATAAAGACGAGAAAAAGGAAAAAAAAAAAAAAGAAAGGGTGAGAACGCACGAAAGCGGTGTGAATTGATATTTTCGAACGAGATTGTAATATGCGTCTGACGAGAACAAAAAAAGAAAAAAGAAAAAAAAAGAAGAGTATAAAATAAATGTAAAGTGTCAGAGATATCTCGCGTGTCCACAGCATAGTTTCACGATTCTTTGTGTAATAGAGATGATGCTAGTCAAATTTTTGCCAATTTTTTGGTATCGATGCTCATTATGTTCCTCAGCTTGTCACGATACGAAAGGATATTTATGATAATAATAACGATATGACCACAACCACTCGCTTTTCATTTCATTCGAACGTCGTTTTGTTTCTTTTTTTTTTAATGATTTTTTAATCATTTGGAAAATACGCAAAGAAGGAGACCAAGTCCCTTGGAAAATCGCAGCGAAGGGACACTCCGTAAGACGGAGAAGGAAAGTAGCAATACCACTTAACCTCGTTTTTTAAATTCCTGCTTTATTCAGTACGATAATAACATTATTCTCAATGACCGTTCACGAAAATTCCGCATAAAACGAAGCAAATATCCCAGCGCGCAAATTAACCGCTACTTCACACAAATCAGTAAGGATCAATTTCGAGAAAGAATTCCATGCTGTAAAAATCATTCCTCGATTGCAAATTGGCGGTCAAAAGCGATATTCGCCGGTTAGTATAAACATTTTCTTTCTTTTTTTTTTTTATTAAAACGCCGGCCGATCGGATCGTGTGTTGTTGGCATTATTACTCCATTTGTTTCCGCATCGCAGGCAATAATGCTGATGAAATAATTCAATTATCCGTTTCGCATGCGATACGATCATCATGGCGGCGTGTGCGTGCAACACGGCCTCACTCTCTACTCCTAACTTTCGCCCCCTATTAATCCTCGAAGATGCGCTATTCACAACCGACTAATCCATTTATTCTTTTAAATCCGAAATCCGATATCACGATTCGAAAGGGCACGCTCTGCCGCGTCGCGCTTTTACTTACACAAGAGGTTTAAACGCTTGTTGTGCTCTGTACTTGTGCTTTATCCCTCTCCATTGTCTGTCGTACCTAACATCAGCCTACGAATCACATTCGCTTACGATTCGTGTTTCATTTGAAAAAAAAAAAAAAAAAAAATAGAAGAAAATGAATAAAAAGATTACCGTATTATAATTGTTGATTTTTAATTTTTCAGCTTTACGAGAAAGAGAATACGTGAAAGTTGAACAGAAATTTGAGAATACATCCCCGCCTGTTTACACCTCGCGCGTGTTTAACGATCATTGTTAAAAGTTTTGCGGCAATCCGGTGGAAACGAGACGAGGTGTCGATCCTTTTCAACGAGACGATGTTCCTCGTTCCCGAATAATACGAAACACTCCCCATTGAAATTTTCACAGTGTTTTTTCTTGGTTGGTTTTTAATCGAGTTCCAGCCGAGTACGAACTTCACATTGATTCCCGGATGTTTACAGTTTCGAGAGAAATTCTGCCAGCATTGAAGTAAATATCAGGGCAGTATTTAGTTTGACGAAACTAAAGATACTTCAGCTCTTGTTTTTAGTGTCGAATCGCGTCGTAGGAGTTACGTAAGATGTACATTGTCCTACTCTCTCTCTCTGTGGAACTTTGTCAATGGCAAACAAACTTTTCAGCGATGGAAATTCATATGGATAATATGAAGAAACGAACTGAATGAAATCATGCAGTTCAAAAGGTTATTTGTTCTCATCTTGGTGACATCCAGACACGTGCACAGAAACTCGAGTCGGTTAGTTCTGTCTTGATACTGATTAGTACTTTCGGGAATGATTGTCGTTACACCGTTCCATTCGCAGTGTAATATCGCGGCACGCGTTTCAAACTAGCAGCAAATGGACGAGCAAACAGTATTCAAAGTTACTCAATAATCGCAAACGCAACCAGAACAATTCGATAATCGCCATCGGGATGTGTTGTAATACGCCCGATACGATATGTGCCTCCATGAGATTTTCTTCCCCGATTCGATTTATATTTCTGTTCTATACTTCTATACAACGCTACTGAATCTCGCAATTTCGTTGATGGTTAAAAAGAATCAAACTGGTTACTACGAAAACATTCGAAAAGCGAGAGGAAAAGAGCGCACGAAAACACTCGAGTCGAAAGATACTCGACATGTTTTTCGTTGAAACTCTCCGGCTTCAAACTGTTGTGTCCGTACGTGTCCGCAGCCAGGAAGAGAGGAAGGATCCTAATCCTCGGCCAAGCGTTGCACGCAACTAATCGAACGTTTTTTTTAGTTTTGTTCCGTCGAGTCGATTCCGATTTTACGATCGAATCAATATATGTTAATGGAACGTATCATCGAGCGTGCACGAGCCGGTCGTGGATTGGCGAGCAGATAATACAGGGTCCATGCGCTCGCTGCCTAAAGGGCAATCGATGCTGTTTCTCTGTATACGTGACGGCGCCGCGTCCGCCTATATATGCCAACCAACCCCCCACGATCCGGAATGCGTCTGTGTGTGTGTGTAGAGAGAGAGGAGCGCGCACATGTGCACACGGATAGCCGCGAATCGCGAACCTCGGTTGCCTGGAGACGGGAAACACGGAGGAGCACACGACCAAGGGTAGAAATTGGGCTACAGTCATGGTTCCATTTGGTCGGCACGCGGATTACGTGGAGAAACTTTTCATCGTGCCTCGATGATCAACAACGCGATATTTATCCAGATTTTGTACGTTGTTTCTCTCGTTCTCTCTCTATCTCTCGTTTTCCCTCTGTCTCGTTCTTTTATTTCACGTTGACGAGATGATGTAAAACTCTTTCTTCCGATTGAATCGTGCAGTGCGTCATAACCTCTGCGAATTTTCGCGTCGAAACGAGACGTAAACTGCGCGTTCGATTGGCAGCGTACCACGCGTTTTGTGAGTTGAATTTCCTCCATCGTGGCAGGTTTTTTCCTCGATCGACCAAGGTCTAATTAAGCGGTGGTTTAATTCAGATTCGCGAGGCAAAGGTATTGTTCGTAGATTCTTTGTTTCCCTATTTTGTTTTATTGTTATCATCATTTTTTTTTTTTTTTTTTTTGGAAAATTGGTGGCGATTTTTGTCACGGAGTACGACGTGGATGGCCGTAACTATCCGTATCGGACATGATCCCTTTTTTATTTGCACGCGTCACATGGACAGTTTCGGCCGAGGTGTGCTTCATACACGCAGCAGCTGTACACAGTCATCGACGAAACTCGCGCGTCACTCTTTCGTTTCTTGTTCGCTCTATTTTTATTCCTAGTTTTTCCCCCTTCTTCGCGGATATCTGTACAGCGTTCGAACACTTGCGTTTCACGTGCAGCAGCTGCACGGTCATTTGACGAAAACGCGCGTCATTATTTCGTTTTCTCGTTCGCTCTAATTTTATTTCTAGTTTGTCCTTTCTTCGCTGCCGTATCTCCACGATTGGTGCTCGAACACTTGCGAGGCTGTATTTAAACGCGCCGTGTTATTCATTTCCCCGTCACAGTGTGTTACATAACATTTGAAAACGCGGTTTACGTAACCGCGCACCATATGAATGCAATTTTTGTCCAATAAACGGAGAAATACTTTCGCAAGCCACGTGTTTTTCCGCACATTGGTTGGCACAATTTTGCAGCTGGTTGCAGCGATGCGCGAAGGTCCGTTGTCAATTTTCCACGCAACGCGGACAACTCCTTTCGTAATTACGACTGTAACATTTATTATTGATATTAACACAATGCGAGGCTGCATATTGCAATCGTGTGTCTCTCTCGCCTGTCCACGACGCAGGATTATCCTCGATAATTATTCAACTCGCATCATTTTTCGCGTACCGCCCGCGCCGATGTCCGCGAGTGGCGTGTAAAAAGTAATTTTTATCGTTGCGAAATAATCACACACGCGACAAAAATATTTCCCACGTGTCTTCGTCATTTATTCAACGGTTTAATTTTGCCTTGGTGCAACGTTGAAATTCGTAACCTCTTCGAATAATAACGCTGCATTATAAATGAAATAGTTAAGCGGTCTCGTTAATTCATGAATTTTCGCCTGATCATTATTTGATATTATCGATTGCGTTACACGTTATCCCTGCAACGTGCATTTCAACGTTGTGGCGATCTTTCACGTACAAGAAAAATCCCGGATGCATGATTAGGTGGCAGTGAAAAACCCACCCTGCCGAAGTAGATGCGCATAAACGAGCACACAAAACAATTTTGGCCGCGGTCCAGTCAAATCGGTGACACGCCGTATATTATTGGTGGTCGCGTGGATTTGAAAATTTGGCCAAGGCAGGATTTTTGGACCACTGCCTGACAACTATGGAGATGGTATCGACGGAAAGTAAGTTCCGGCAAGATGTTTGACTTTATTTCTACCGGTGTGTCAATTTTTAGAAATGACGCTGCGCACGCAATTACGTACATATACGCAATGTCGCTTTGAGTGTTTTGTGCACGATTAACGAGCATGAGATAGATACAAGTAGAAAAAGAACGAAAAGGAAAGAAAAACGGAGAATTTTACATTTACGTTGCACGATCCTGCGACATTTTTCTCGCGACTGAAGTACGCATTTAAACGTGGAAATCTGCTCCGATATACAATATACGTGGAACTTGGAAGACGCGTCGGTTGCCGCGGCTGGTAACGCAAACTCCAGCAAACTATCCAAGCAGAAATACGTAATGAGACTACATGTCAATGGATGGCACCACCGATGTATAAACTTGAGTAGCAGTCTCGAGGCGTGTGACGCTCTTGTCAACGTTGCGCACAGCCGTTGGCTGTGCTTGCTGCCTGCCTGCTTTTCCTATCAGCCTGTCTGCCTGCTTTGCTTAAAAACATTATCGTGCCTGGATGTCGCGGGCCGTATCGAGCAATTCGTCAGGAGTACGTTTCAGAAATAATCTGTCGCTTGCTATCGTGAAATATTGACCGGGCTTCATTATTGATTCAACCCCGGTCAAACGTACTCTGCACCGGGTTTTCTGCTCGGTTTTCATGGTTTGTTGTTCCCCCGCACGTACATACGTTGCACGTACGTATCGTAACGGAGCCGTGTTGCCGCGCCGTTTCCGTGTGGTCGATAACTTTTCTGATGTATCGATAATCCTCCTCTCGTCGAAACAGGCAATTCGCGTAGTCGTGCGAGAGCGCGAGATATACACACGCGAGCATATCGCGGATGTAGATAGACCAGGTAGCAGCAGATAGAAAGGCGAATCGATAAATGCGTCTGGCTGGTTCGTGTTCAATTTTTCAAACCGTCCCGCGGCCGTTTCCGCGAAGAATTCGAGCATTGTTGTTCCACGAGAATGAATCCTCCTCGTAAACCCGATCGGTTTCGCCGGGCGAATTTTAATTCTCGTCCGTGTTGCCTTTTTTCCCTTCGCCGATATTTAGAACGCCTGTCGAACTCCAGCTTATATCGCCGTTTTCTTTCGATTATTGGACTCCTGTCCATCGGGCACATGCACGAGCCGATACCAGACAGGCTCTTGCAACTTGCGTCGCATTATGTATTCCGTATCGTTGCTCCGACGTGTCACGGACTGTCGATGTAACGATAAACTATCGGTGTTCCTGCTTCGTACACCGGAGGTCGCTAATTCACCGCGACGATTCCTACGTGCGTCTGTCGAAACGCGCATCTCCCCGCGACGATGAAAATTCATCGTTTTACACCCTTTTTTCTTTTTTCGCGAGCGCACACTCGCTCGGTGCTCGTGTAAGCTCGTGTTGTTTAAAAGCTTTCGACTTTTCGGCGTGATCGTGTTACGCCGACGCTCGACGTCGTAATTAATTTCGAGATGGCGCGACACGAGATCGGTACGTTAACATGTTGCCTAAAAAAAAAACAACCGTGTGACGTCGAGGATCGACAGCCGAATTTCTCTCAGCGAAATGATATTTTTCCTCGCCGCGGGAGATCTCTCGGTATTTGTTCGACGTGATTTTCACGGATTCTGGTCTGGCCGGTGGCCAGGAATCGCGGCCGAATCGAAAATTCACGTTTAGCCGGAAAATTAGATTAAAAACGTTTGTTTCGTCTCGGCGGTTCGAGAGTTGATTCACTCCACGCGACGTTGCATATTTCGCGGCGGGAAACACATACGTTCCTGCGAGAACACATTTGTTCGATCGAGACTCGCGATCGTCGACGAAAAATTCGTAAAATCGACGATGAGTATCAACAAGTAGCAGACGTACACACGTAAGGCTTCCACCGTCGTAAAATCGATGTGGATAATTTTATACACACACACACACACACACACACACACACAAACACACACATACACACACGGCGAACACGTGCACGCAATAAGCTCGCTATTTCGAGGAAATGTCCACGCTTCGACGGAATCTTCTTATCGGTTGCATAATTTTACACGACACGTCACGCACCGCGAAAACACGGATCGAACGGCACGGTTTAATCGACAGCTATTCCTTCCGACGTCGGTTGTTCGTGTTTTCTGCACGTGCTTGCAGTCCGTCAATGTCGCGTCGACATCGCGTTCCGTGCTCGTGTCTGCCTTGCCCATGAATAAAGAATCAACGCGTAACGATCGCTCGGTGGTTAATTGATCTGTACAAATAAGACACTCGTCTCGGTGAGGTCAATGAACCTTCTGGTAACGTACGATCTCGTTGTGAAAATAATGACGAAATACGAAAGAAAGAAAGCGAAGCCTCGAGAATGTTCTTCAGTAAGTATTTGGACATTTTAGTCGAAACTGCCGAAATGGTCAAAACGACTAATTTATAATTTTCTATGGAAATTTTATATCTTATCATATTAATTGTTATATAATTATATTGTTACTACATTAAATATTATATTAATTTTCTAACAGTGTGTTTTTTGGGTACTCGAGTGATTTTTAATGCAATGTATTAGTAGAAGCTTGCGTTATTAACTTTTTCTTGTACAACCTTGCGCTTGTTTCCAATTTCTCTGCTACAAATATTATACTGTTTCGTCAGTGGTTTTAGTATTAACAGTATGTGACGTATAATTAATTTATTAATCGAACGGGCCGCTTTATCGTTATCGGATTACGAAACTAACACGATAAATCCTAACATTATTCCTATTCCCGCGAATTAGTCGCTTCAAACGTTAAATAAAATACTACATATCTTTACGTTAAAATTTGGAAACAACGTACAATGCGGAGAAAAGTCGTCGTCTCCAGGAAATGTATCTTTTCGAAAAATTTTCAAGACAGACGTGCATTTCACGCCGATGTGTTTCGCGGGATCTGCCTTCGCTCGAATCTCGCCTCAATGTTCTTAATTACGAAAGCGCGCACGCGCGTGTATGCGTGCGCGATGAACAAAAGCGTGGTTGTGTCCAGCAGATACTCGATCGGAATAGGGAAAAATTCGAGGCTGAATAATCTCCGTCCGAAGAATAACAAGAGGAAGTCTCGTTGAAAAGCAGCTGATGCATAATAGGCGAGCGCGTTCGCCGAATCGACAAAATTTCTCAGGTGGAGTTCGCAACGACAAACACAATGGCAGCGGGGGACAACAGTGTCTGCTGGCGGTGAGGATTGCTCTAGAATTAATTCAATGCGAGCCGAGTCAAAGGACGAAATGAAAACGAAGAAAACCTCGAGGGCCATGGAAGATATCATTAATTTCTTCGGTAGCAAGAAATGCAGAGGAGTCTCTCTCTCTCTCGTCGAGTGAAGCACCTTTTTTTTTCAATTTGAAACGCTGAGCTTGTTCCATCGCCTCTCGAGGATGAAGCAGTTCCGAATTATATAGGCTAGACATTATTCGCGTTCCCCCCTCCCCCCTTTCATCTTCGTGGTTATAAGTTTTCCTCGACAGCGTGTCTCTGTTTCACCGAGGCTCTCCGCTCTCGTCGTTCGTGCGATTTTTTTTTCTTTTTTTTTTTTTTTTTTTTTCTTTTTGAAAAGTTCCTCCCCGTCCAGCGGTTGTGTAATTAAAATAGACCGTGTCTCGAACAAAGCGAAATTTTTAACGAGTTATTTTTACCAGATAACTCCCATTCCCGCTGCTTTCAACCAGAGTGGCCAACTTCTTTTTAACGCGTTGTTCTACAGTTTTTCGACGCACGGATGCAACGTGCGAAAGTGAGCTCGACGATGATACTTTCTTAATCAACAGGGCGCGAAGAGAAGATCGTAAGATTAGGCCGAGCACCAACTGAATAAAAATTCAAGTTGTTTTGGTAACAACCGGTGCTCCTTTTCTTCTTTTTTTTTTTTTTTCTTTACGCAGAGCAACAAGATAGAAAGACAAATTTATATTAATTTGCGTCAAATGTGTTTCTCCTCTTCTACGTATACACAATCACGTACATACGTAGTACGCGGCGCGCGCCACGCCGCCTGCAGCTATGCAATCCCCGTTACACGATACACTAACACCAGTGAAAGTATCACGCGCGCCGGCGATTATTTCTACCCATGTTTATTTCCAGTGGAATTTCTATTTAATTCCGTGTTTATTAACACACCGTACTATTAATACACCTAAACACCGAGTTCCCTTGCAACTGCCTCGGGAAAAAAAAAATTCGCCAGAGTATTTTCGCTAATCGGCCGACGTTCCACGAACTTCGTACGATAATCGTCACTGCAGATACCTTTATCGGAAGGAGTTACAAACGCGTATCTAATTAGCCGCTCGTGATTATCGGGTAATTCCACGCAACGATTGCGCAACTACCGATACCGCTCTCTTATCAACTATCCACCGTCCGGTTTTTCGAAGACTCGCCGAGATAAATAATTGTCGTCCAACTCGAGTCAAACATTTTCAATTTCTCGAAAACTTCGAGTTGCGATCTCTTGCGAGAGCGAGAGCGAGAGAGAGAGAGAGACCGACTGCAGTAATTACGTGTACGCGTATAGGCGTACCAGCAGACTCGAGACAAAAGAGGCACGAGCAAACGAAGAGAAACGAGAAGAGAGAAGAGCGAGTTCGCGTACGTGGGAGAAAAGGAGGGATGACCGCACAGAGTATCGTTAACCGGTATACACAAGAGCACGTTCTCCAGCGTGCACAAGTGGCGAGGCACCACGAGTTAGTATCGCGAGTGAACTCGGCCGACACGCAAGTAACCGCGTCCACACGCGTTTGCGAACCAGCGACTCTATGAATCGTTTGCCGTCGTCGATCGTTTCCTCGAGCGGGAAAACCTTCATGGAACCACGACGTTCGAAGAATCACAACGTCGACGCTGACATCGGATACCGTCGTCGCATTCTATTTCCGTGCTCGCCGCGGCTGGTCTAGCGTAGCGGCGCGGCCAAGAGAGAGAAGTCTCGGAGGCGGCCACACCACGCAGTGTTGTTTGGAACGAAAAGCACGGAGGAGACCGAAGGAGTGTTGTGTGCTGCACCGTGCTGTGTCGCGAGACAGAAGGAGAAAGAGGGACTCGCGGTGAATCGGCCCGTTAGTCGGCAGGAATCTAGGTGTGCAGCGAAGAGAAAGAGAAAGAGAGAGAGAGAGAGAGAGAGAGGAAAAGGTACGTAGTACTCGGCAGGAGTAGAGTTTCTCGACGCAAGTTTCCTGCATCGACTCGACAAAATTTCGAAGTCTCTGAGCAAAGTTGGCCAAAAGTTTCGCGCTGCAACGATGCTAATCGCGACGATACGAAGTACATAACACGCGTGACCCGAACGCCAACAACGGTGGTCTCCAAGAGGTGTTTGCACATTCGTTTCGAGCTGTTTGCCCGGCGCTCGGTCGTCAGAGCGAGGAGGAAGAAGCGGTATCTCTCGTTCGGTGATCTCGTTGCGCACGGTTATCTGGATCGAGTTCAACGAGAGACGTCAATTTTCTTTTATTGCAGGCTCGAGGTACCGCTTCATCCTGACTGCTGCTATTCTCTTTCGGTAATTTTCTCCGACAGAAGTTCCTCTCCCAGTGTGTACGAATTTATTGACGTTTCCCCGTACCGTTTCTTTTTTCTCCCTTTCCTCCTTTGTATTTTTCCTCCCCTTCTCTCTCTCTCTCCCTCTCTCTTTTTTTCCTACGAGATCCAGGTGTTGTCTTCAAATTGAACTTCGCGATCTTCGTAGACGATAAACCACTTTGCGGAGAAATATCGACAGGCATGCTCGATTTCCCCGCTCCATTGTTTGCGCCGGATACAGCTTGCTATCTCGATTGACGTTGTTTATCGGTGGGAAAAGTTTGCACGTGCTTTTCGCACGTGCGATCCTCCGGCGTTTAAATTCGACCGACCGATCGATCGATCGATCGATCGGGGAATATCTGCTGCTGCTGCTGTTGAATTTAGCCTCTTTGGTCCAGCTTGCTTGCTCTCCGTGTAAAACGCGGAGAGTATCATTCGAATACGCGCATCACACAGAGAATGTGCTCGTCGGTATTACACAGACGCTCTCACCTTGAACGCAGGAAGCTACGAATTATTATCACGATCAGGATTTACGATCGCGCCGAGGCTTGGTTCAATGGTACTGGGTTCGAATTATCAACAGGCACCAATAGTAGGGTCGAGAGAGTTGCTGCAAGAACGTTGACACGTCGTCGTGCCCGATGACTCACGACGCCTGTTTTTATTGTGTCTGCTGCCCTCTTTGTGGTTTCATTCGTGAACGCTGACTTGGATCAACTACGTGATAACTGCTGCGCGATCCCGTGGATGGATCAAGAAGCCTCGCTTTGACGGAAATTTACAACGATGAAAAGACAAAAGATCCTCCAGCTGCTAAATTTAATCCGTCTTATTGTTAGTTGAAACTGTGGTTCTTATCTCCGATTTGCATCTTTGTTCCTATGTGATTCCCTAGATAATGATGAAAATTCTACGAAGAATGAACGATTTCTCGGTTCGAGGTCACCATTTTTTTCACTTTTATACTCATCATTGTATCAATTTGGCACGATAGATGCGAAAATAATGTGTAACGCGTGCAATTTTATTTCTGAACATGTATATATACATGTATATATATATATATATATATATATATATATATATATACACACAGGGTGTTTCCTGTAACGCACGATTTTTCTCCTACTTACAGCCATCTGACAAAAAAAAAAAAAATTTAGAACAAAATTTGAACGGTACAGGGTGTACAGTAGGTATCAATAGAAAAAATTTCGAAAACTGTTTGTTTTCATAGCTAAATCAAGGTCACTTTGGATGACTTCTCGTCATATTTGATTCTAAGTCAGTGTAAACATAGTTATCCTCTGATTAGAAGCTAAATGTTTCACATTTCCACTACTGCAAAAAGAGTAACTTGTTAATAAAAATATCATATAATGTGTTTTGAATTCGTCTCGATGTTCTCTACAATACGGTGGAAAAAAAATTATGTGTTCCTATTTGTTTCATCCAAAATGACCTTGATTTAGCTATGAAAACAAACAGTTTTCGAAATTTTTTTTATTCATACCTACTGTACATCTTGTACCGTACAACTTTTTTTTGTCAGATGGCTATAAGTAGGAGAAAAATTGTGCGTCGCGTTACAGAAAACACCCTGTATGTATGTATGTATGTATATATATATATATATAGAGAGAGAGAGAGAGAGAGAGAAATTTCATCTCTAACAGAGGAAACTCGTTTGATTTCGAAGCGCGAACATGACACACCGAGGAATAATAAAATCGAGTCGCAATAGCATCAAAAAGTAGGAAAACTCTGGAATGGAGGGAAATATCATAAACGCAAAGTCTGTGGAATTTGTCACTTTGTTCAGAGAGAGTAGACGGAACATACGCGAGTAGTCGTTCGATCGAAATTACCGCGAGCGCGCGGGAGCCGCGTCGTCGCCTCCGCGTCCAGTTTCATCGATATTGCCTACGAAATGGGAAGAAAGAGGGCTGCGCGCGAGAAGGGCGCGCTGTTTTCTGGTGCGTCGACGACTTTTGCTAGCCAATTGAGCCAACATGAAAGCCAAGACGAGGAATTGCAGCGGGTCAACGAATCGTCCACTTGCACGAACACAAAGGAACAATCTGAACAAGAACTATACATCTCTCTCTCTCTCTCTCTCTCTCTCTCTCTCTCTCTCTTTCTCTCACTTCCCACCCGCTGTCTGTCTGTCGGTCTATCTATGTATCTGTATGTCGTTCTTCATTCTCCTTTCTTTCAGGCCCACTTCAACATTCTTCCAACGCGTTATTCCCTGCTTTTCGCAAAGTCAATTCCCTGTTTCTGTTTCTGTTGTTTCGTTCTCGCAGACAGAGACACGCCGACGACTTCGTTCCGGCGTAGCTCCGTTTACGATCGATTGCGTGCAATCGAATGGCCTCGTAAACAATATTACCTGGGCACGACGACCGATGCTTCAATTTGACGAAACGATGTTTAACGACGGGAAAGGTATTGTTTTACCTGATTACGTTGTTCTTCTTCGTCGTCTTTTCTTGTTCTTTTTTTTTCCTTTTTCGTTCTGGACCTACACGATCGCGTGATGGATCGAGTTGTTTCCAATAAACACGGTCGTATCGACGACGCGGAATTTAGTTGACACTTCAGCTGAATAGAGCGAAGAAGCCGTTAGATCGTAAAGTGTCAGGCCGGTGGTGATCGAAAGCCACGAAAGACGCTACGTTCGCGCGCAATTAGAATATCCTTCCATCGAGATGGAAGAGTTTCTCGCGTTCGAAGAAGAAAATACGAAGGGAAGAGTGTGCGGAACGTTTCTCGTTTCAATTTTCATCCGGAGGATTTTTTTCGAGCGTCAAAAGGAAGACTTCGAGCATCGTAACAGAATCGGGCGAGCATTATTACGAAAGATAAAGAGAGAGAGAGAGAGAGAGATCGTTTGTTTGTTTGTTTAGTCTGTCACTCGACGATTTAATTTGCTGCTCCCCGCTTTAATTTTTTTTCGGTATCGGTGCTGCTACAGTTTCAAGCTTTTCTCCGTCCTCGGGAAAGCCTGTGAAAGTTGCTAGGTTGCAAATTTTATTATCTCTAACTGGCGTTTCAACGCCTGAGACGCACTTTGTTGCGAGACAAGTTCTCAACAGCGGATAATTTCTTCGCTGTTTTCCGAAGTTTCTATCACTTGCGCGCAAGCGGCGAAATTTTGACGACAGAATTTCCCGGTTGATCTAACATATTAAAAATCGCATGAAAATTTCGGGAAAAAATACGAGCTTCAATCTCGTCGTGTTTTGATAATAGTTTCACAGTGGAAAATTGGTTTGTGGAATTAAAAGTGTTATGNCTTTATATTGGATCGGTTTCGATTAAAAAAAAAAAAAAAAAAAAAAAAAAAAAAAGGGAAAATTTAAATTCCAATGATACTTCGGAAGAAAAACAAAAAAAGAAAAAAACGATTTTACGGTGGAAAATGTTCGAATTTCCTGTATTCATTCGTTTCTCGTTCGTCGTTTTATTTTTTTTTTTTTTCTCCTTCCCCCGATCTTTGAAAATGCAGTATAATGTTTCTCTTGGAAATATCGGAGTACCAGACGTCCTTCCGTTTGAATTTTCATCTGTGTAATGATTAAATATCACAGAATCGAAGATAAAATCGTTGGGACCACGTATCGAGAGGAAATTATTACACGGGATATGGATTTCATCTTGTATTTCCAGTGGGTGTGATTTTTGAAACAGAAACTTTATGAATTGACATAAAGCGTCAGCTGTCGCATTAGATATAATTCTGGTGGTGTCCACGTCAAACGCAAATATTGTATTTCGGTGTATATTCCGATACGCGAACGCGGTCCCGAATTACTATTTTGTCAAATGGTACCGATATGACAACGCAGTGTTAAAGTCTACAAGAAACAGCCTCAATTTCGAGCCAAAAATCTGTCTGATATTACACTTTCGAGTGTTTAGAACATCGACGTATGCATATCGTACGTGCATAATTGCCAAGTTTAAAACGATAAATTTTTCAGCGTAAAAAATTGGAGCAATTCGTTTCGCACGATGTCAACGTTGCATTCTTCCAACTCCGCGCGATGTTTTGAGAAATTAGTTGAGAAATAAAAGGCACGAGTACGTGGAAGTAAAATGTTGCTAGTTACGTTTCATTCTCTGTTCCGCTGTGCGTCTCTACCAAAAATTACAACGTCGCGACTAAAACAATTTTAATCGCTCGAAATTGTTTCGGACATCAACGAGTCGCTCGTCGAGTTAAAATAATTCCAAGTAGTAAGCAATCTAACAGCGATCGGCCGCGATCGATCCTTACTTTGCCCGTGCAAACAACTCCCGTTAAAAAACGTCGAGAAACGCACACTGCGATACACTCTCGAACATATCGAGCACAAAAGGTTAAAGAAACGCGATCACGAACTTACCGGCGAGTAATTCGCGTAGGATTACGCGAAACTGCTCGTGTTACGCGTTCCTGTGCAACGTATGTACATACGTACGTATGTGAAAGTAGTAGTTGGTCGAGATTCGTGCGACACGATCGCGGCCGAACGAAAGAATGGCTGGAAAGCCTCGGCGGGTAAACAACCATCGAAAATCCAGTCTCGGCGTAGGCTTCGTGAATAAACGGTGCACGTTCTTCGAGCCATACGCCGCGATAGATACGGCGTTATTGTAACCCGTTAATATTATTGCGAAATCTTTGACGGGCTCCACCAGCCACGACCTAGATTCTATCCTCCATCGGTCTGGTGTGTTTATGCGGACTACCGTTTCTTTTTCCTTTTTTTTTTTTTTTTTTCGCGATTTTTCTGCCACAACACTCTCGGGATATTCGGGACAGTGCGAGAGTCTCTCGCCGCGGTAGAATTTCGCCGTTAAGTACCGTTGGCCTTCTAAACTAGAAACAGAAACGGGTTTTTTTTTTTTTTTCTTTTTTTTTTGTTTTCGATCCAGCTCGGGATTTTCGACAATTTTTTCTTTTTTTTTTTCTCTCTTTTTTTTTCATTCTATCCACGCGAAAGATCAAATTTTCGCAAGCCATACGCTCGCTCGTTATATCGTTCGTCGCACGAACGCGCGAATTTTGATAAAAATACGATAAATACACGGCGGGATAAATTTCTCTCCGCAATGCAATTGTTCCCGCACCGCGTGTGTGTGTGTGTGTTTTTTTTCATTTATTCATACATATCTCAATTTTTTCCCCCCCCACGAGATTCTCCCAATTTCTCGGTAATTTTATTCCGTTGCGAAGAGAGGCGATGTTCGTTCTTTCCAATTATCCTCTCTCTCTCTCTCTCTCTCTTAGACGTATTTTTCGTCGATAACTTGAGTGATATAGATAACTTCTGCTTGCCCGCGTTCTTATTGCAGCTGAAATCGCTTGGGAATTTTACAAATGTGGAATGTTAATTTCCTTTGACAGAGCAAGAGCAATTTTCACAAAGAGCCGGTTGTACAGTTGATCAAACGGCGCGTGCTTGTTCCGCGGAGGCGGGCAATTTTTCATTACGATTACACGGCGATTCGTAATCGCCCTCTTTTTCCGGCGCGCCGTCGTTGTAAACAGCGAACTTTTTAGACAAACTTTCATCCGCAATTAACGAGCGTTCGATAATTTGCTACGATTAAAGAATTTCCCGATTTAAAAGAAATGGTCTGTTAAATTGAGATATTCCAACGAGACAAATCGCCATCTTCTTAAAAAAAAAAAAAGATATCTCGTTCAAATACTCGGCTCGATCGAACTACGCAATTCAGTCAGTTATCGGAGGGAAACAGAGATTGGCGGAGATTATTTCGCGGTTAGCGTTAATTTCGCGTCGGCGAGCGAGGTCGCGGCTCAATAGCGTCGTTGCACCTACGCGCGAAACATGGGCGGAGATTAGAAGAAATAGAAGACGAGACGTCGTTTTCATTCACGGAATTCTAATCAATTCACCTCGGAATTCCAATAAATTCGTGTCTCCAAGAAGTCTCAAAGAAAGGAACAAGAAAGTGCAATAAAAGACGATTATTGCGTACTGTTCTGGCGTAGAACAGAACCCTTCGAGGCGGTCAGCCAGCTCAATTCCTAAGAAACCTCGTCTCTGCCGAGAATTGCCAGATGTCCTGTCATACTCTCATCTAAGGACACTTTCTCTGGTCTTGGAGGGAGAGACAGGATGTGGAAAGGCTCGGTAGGGCAGAAACAAAGCCCAGCGTAGGAAAAGGGATACTTGGCCGTGGCCATAAAATCGTAGACCACTCTAGAAATTCGTAGAGTCACATTCAGCGGTCAGTCAATCACAAGCAGTCAGTCACAATCGGTCATTCCGCCTCAGTCACGAGGAGAGCTAGCGTGCCCTCTCCCGACTTATAACACATCCACATTTGTATATTATAGTGAAATATAAGTATTTATTTTACATCTCGCTTTCATTCATAAAACATCTCTCCGGCGGCTGTAAACGGCAAGACGAGAGAACGACCAGCGAAGCGGGTAGCAACTAACGTTCACCGTCGCGCAACGCCGTAACACGTACAGTTGAATCGACACGACGCTCTTTGACCTCGAATTTGTAATCGAACGCGTATTTCAAATCGTCGCCGATCGCGGGAAATTAAGTCATTCCCGATAACGAGCGCCACTCGAAATAATTCGCGTCGTTTCATTTGATTAGCAATCGAACACCGAGACCTCCCCCTTTCCCCGCGGTCGACAGACAAAAAGACTGGTCTTTTTTTTATCGCTCGGGCGATAAGCTGCAGTCATCGATATCGAACTGTGTGTAACTTTGACAGACGGCGGTAGCCAGTTACTCTCGAGAGCGTAATATAATTTCAAAAATTCCTTCGCAGGAATTAGGTTCCGAGTAAACGAACGACACTCGTCACATTTCACGAAGGTTCATTCCTCGTAGCAACAACGTTACAATGTCTTTAGTTTGATGAAAAAGAGCGCTGCTTCTTCTTCTCGGCACGTCTTTTTATCTTTTATCGTTTCTTGGCAAATCAAAAAATTAACTGGTAATGTCACCAATTAACGCGCAATGTGAAATTTTTAATTGTACGAAAAAGATAAGCTTATATAAATCAACACAGTTTAGAGTACATAAAATAGAGTAATAATTTGTGCTATGAGAACTGAACGGACAAGTAGCTGTAGACGGATAACGCAAAGTCGGTAAATACCAGGCTGCAAAAAACCACGTCCAAGGTGTTTCTACCTCGTGACCAACTTCGTAGGCTGACGCGGATCATACGTGACGAGGATGTTGTTACGAAACGTTTGTTTCGTACGTGCGAACGTCCTCGTTTTTCTTTCGCTTCCACGCGGATGGTAAAACAAAAAAAAAAAAAAAAAAATTTAAAGAAAAAAGAAACGGACGGCGACTTGAACTTTTAACGGTGTGTGTGTTTGGCCAAATTTACCACGTTTCATTGAAAGTTTCGCGCGTAGAATGATAGCGATTTAGCAATTTAGCGCGGCGGCTTTGCGCCAACATAAGCGAAATTCAAGCTCCAATTTGTTTAGAAAGTCGTTTAGAAACGTATCAAAGAGGCTGCCCTTTCGTTTTGCCAGAATTTCATATTACGTTATTCGTTAGAGGCCTTTACGCGCCCCGTTTCTGATCTTTGCGTCCTTTCTATCGCTATCGAGCCTATGTCGATTTTATTCAGACATTTACCCACTATTTCGGTAGCACTTGCCATCTAAAATAAAATATTAATTATGACAAATACCACTCGACCGTTGCACATCTTAAGGAATATTCTGGTGGTTTGGAGCGAAGTTGCAGTTAGAATCGACTGGACACGAAGCTTTGAATTTTACTTCTTTGTCCAATTTTATCCGCGATTTCCGATCCTGACGTCACAAATTTCATTTCGCTCGTCTGTCAAGAGAAGGAGGTACACACTTTCGGGTATTTATCGTGGTTCTTCCCGTGAATTATCACTCCTGTCGCCGATAATGAAGCGAAAGTGATCTACACCCTCGTTCGGGGAACTCTCTCTCTTTCTCTCTCTCTCTCGGTACACCCGCTGCTTTTAATAAAACTTCACTCTGCCTGGGTGTAGATTACGAAGTTTCAACCATATTTACTCTTTAGTAAGCCCGCCGTTAATATATCAACCACAGCAGCTCCCTTATCGCGTCCGTCGCGATCAAATGAAATAATATTTCTTCCTATCTTTCAATAACGCCGTGCAAACGTTCCCCAACTTTCCGTACAAAGATCCCTCGTTCGTCGTTGAAAACAAAAAAAGAGTTGTCCTTATACCGACAGGACACTGACCCTCCCTTCTGCGACAAAAATCTGTCACAGCTCGACACATTTCGTACAAATGCACAAACTTTGAGCGGCAGAGAGAAGATTCCATAGAGATTAATCGCATCGACTCTCGAAAATTATCTGAAGTTGTCTGTTCTTAACACTAAGAACTACCTAAAGTGGCCAAAATGACTAATTTATAATTTTCTATGGAAATTTCACATATTTACATTAGCAGCGTGTTTCATACTCGAGTGACTTTTACTAAAATATATTGATAGAAACTTGTATCCTTTATATTGAATTGTTAACTTTTTCTTGTACCTTGCGCTTGAATTTCTTTGCTAATAAATATTATATTTTTTCGTCGGTAGTTCTAGTGTTAATGGACAGAAATTTATACTACAAAATATAAGTACTACGTAAGTAGTTATATGTGACTTTAAACCTACACACACACATATACCAATACACACAAAAAGGAAAAGAGTCGTTCAGAAGTCTTTTCACAGGCCAAAATCTGGACACACCGATGGTCGAGCCAACGTCTTTCCAACGAGAAAAAAGAATCGTCGTGGATTTGGACGCGGGAGGCACGTGAATCGCTCAGAAACGATCGTGGTACGGTGGTGGTACGATCCGAAAGGGCCTCCGAAAGGGCCTACGAAAGGTTCCTAGGCCCTTTATCCGGCTTACCCGAGTGTTGAAAGAGATCGGAGAGGGGAGAGGTTTCGTTCGACCTGAAGAGAGCAAGCAGGTGCGTTCGTTCAACCCGTAACTAGCGTGCAGTTTACCTGCGGGAGCGTCTGCCAGAGCACACCATCGCGTCGCATCGCGCGGAACGTTCGTGCCTCGGTCTCTCGTTTCCTCGTGCTCGCGCCTCGTTCCACTCCACGGGATTCCATCGAAATTATTGTTTCACGGCGATACAACAGTCTGCGCCTCATCGCGGGGGAATCTCGATACTCTTCTATCGCTGTCAGGTACGTCAGGATCGATTCCTCCTCCTCGCCCCATCGTTTCTACAATTTTCGTAGTTTGCAGTTTTTTTTTCTTACTTTTTTGTTTTTCTAACACGTTCAACACGTTCGTCGCTATACCACTTGCCTGGAATTGCCACTGCTTCTCATTCGGAAAATATTTTTTTTTTTTTCTTTCTTTGTTTCAAGTAGTTGTTTTATATTTCGCATAGTTGATGCTTATCAAAATAATGCGGAACGCGTTCTTGAGCGATGTTTTGTCAAGTTTTGTCATTCTGAGAGTCTGATAATAACATCGAGGAAGAATGTTAATGTTTCCAAGAGTATCTTTTTCACATTAAGAAAAAAAAAATATATATATATATATATTACGTCCACGAAGGCACGACGTGCCATTATCAACGCGATAATACGACTTATCTTTATTGGATTGATATTATAATCTGTATCACGAGTGTGACTCTACGAGGTAATTGGTTAATCGACGAAACTGCTTGCTACCCTAAAGGGTACTTCTAAATTAATCTTGAGGGGACAAGCTTTGTTATCTGTTGTGATATCCCTCCACCAAATACACAGCAGTTAATCGCCAATTATACGATATATCTGGGACTAAATTGAAATGTCCTTCTCCGAAATTCTCCGACCTAACGCCGCTAATATTTCGAGATTGTTTTTTTCTTTTTTTTCTTTTTTTTTTGGAAGCAAGGTAAAAATTCTCTTTCGAATTTTTCCTAGAATGGACAAGGATCTCAATTTCTTGATTTTTGATTATTTATCATTGTTCGAAAACGAAGGATAATCGTCTATAGAGAGAAAAAACGCGTTAGTAGACGCGTTCAAATCGATAAAATCCTCCCACAAATAACTAATGACTAATATTTGCCAGCTACAGCACGAGATATTTGTAATTCAACCCAATTTCGAGTCCGCGTTTAATCTCCGAGCTACGTAACTATTTTTGACTCTTTGAGGAATCACGTATCTCGCGCGCGATTGGAACATCGATGTATCCTCGAGTAATCAGTTCAACGTTGATGCTACGAGGTGCAACCGAATGTAATCGAAAGGTCATCGTTTCGCCGTTTACGAGCAAAGTGAGCCGTACTTGGAATATTTTTGCACAAATCGACGGGAACGTGCACAGTGAAAGTGCAACCGCTTCGTTGTTCTCCGGGGTCGTTGTTGAATACGAGACGACGCTGCTGTCGCGAAAGCGTGAGTGCTCGTTTTTAATAGTGCCAGTCCGATGAATATTTCAAATGGAACTTTAATCACGCGCGGAGGTCCGCGCGACAAAAGATAACGTTGGTTGTTTCCTTTCTCGCTTTACCGGTTGGCGCGACGTTGTCATACCGCGTACCTTTTGAAAACGACCGAGCATTGAAATTCCCCGCGAAACAACGTTACACTAAACCCAGTTCCTCTCTCTCTTTTTCTCTCCCTGTCTCTCTCGTATCTTTCGGAAGATATACCGACCTTTATACCATTTTTCTTTTTTTTCTTTTAAACTGTGCATATTGAAATATCTGAAGACGATTCTACCTCCATTTTTTTCATTTTTTTTTTTTTTTAGATTAGTTGATTAATTAATTAGGACGAAAAATAATCTCGATATCGCCTCGAATGGAAGATCTCGCGAACGCAATTAGAGAAATGAAATTCAGGTTAGCGTAGAGAACTTTGCATATTTTCTTGACAATTGTTTCGGAGATTTGAAATCGAAAGAAGCATAAGAGAGAAAACGCATAAACTGACAACTACCGAACTGCCTGGTCGTTTCATTGTACAATAGAAAGAGAAAATGGATTGAACGGAATTGAATTTTTGCGTTCGATTCTACCGGATTCCTGAGGCTTTAATTTAATCGATGAATCTTTCATTAATCGAGACTTCAACGTGCGACACTATCTTTTTGTTTTTGTTCCTTTTTTTTTTTTTTTTTTAATTAATTCGATAAAATTCCGAGAATGTGTCGAAAAATCCTAAAGCTATATAAAAGATAGATGAAAGATAATTATTCTTCGATAATGCAATACATATAGTAAAGTATCAATCTATGATGGCTATCAATTATATGGCTCCCTTTGGTATTGCAAAAGAAAAAAAAAAAGAATTCTTTGTGCCATTCAACATGTATTTTCTACTCGCTTCTCGTGTTCCTTTTCAGTTTCGCTGATTGAATTTTCTTTTAATCCTTAAATAAAAAAAAAAAAAAAAAAGAAAGAAAAAAGACGAAAAAGGAATGAACTCCACCTTTTGTATAAAATCGCGCAGAGATACGACCTCATCGCTTTCATGAGATCTACAAAATTTTCTATCAGCGCATCGAGCTTTAAAAAACTTAAGAACCAGCGTTACAAGTCTTTTGATTCTTCGCACGACACGATGAAAGAGAAGATTTTAAGATCTCTCTCGCTTAATTCTACTACTATCTTCATATTTTTCTATCCTAATTTAGATCCTTCGTTGTCTGTCGACAAAGGAAAAGCACTTTTAGATTTAGAACATTTTTGTATTTATTTATTTTTTTTTTTTTGTTTTTTTTTTTTTTTTCTTATGAGAAAAACATTTGGAATTTTTGCTATGAACTGCTATGAACATTGTGACAAATAATAATGCGATTATAATATTTGAATACGGAAGAAGATTCGTCCGTGTTGTAAAATATCACTCACTCATTTTCTCATGATGAGATGAGATAAGTGGAGATTATTTTGCCGAAATTCGACGTTGGTTAGCGAGCAACACACAGAGGCAAATATCCGGCTTATTTATCCACTCTAACGAGCCATCTGTATACAAAACCCATTGACACTACAATACAGAAACATTCGTGAAAATAAGCAACAACAGATTTTCCACTACTTTCAACCTATAAAATTGATCAGTAGCTGACTTTACGCTAGTTCTATTTTGATTGTAGAGAGCGTAAACAACGAATACTCGTCATCTGCAGAAAAAATCCAGGTCGCGTATCGTTCGCGGGGGTCAATGGCTTCTAATCACCCCGTTCCTCGGTAAATCACTAATTTCCATACTAATCGCCGCTAATAACCGTTCTCTCGTGACGATCGATGCGACACGGATGAACATAAAAAAAAGAGAAAAAGAAAAAAAGGAAAAAAAATGAGGGAAAAAAGCCGTGAAAAAGGCGGAGCACCGTGAAAAAGAGATGAATTTATTATTAATTCCGTGTGTATCGATCGGACCCTGGCGAATACATACCGAAGGTCTTGGAAACAAGGCTCAGGCCAGGACATACGGGAGGGGGTGCGGGCGATAGAGGTGGTAAAAACTCGTCGAACCGATTAGAACACGGTGACGTACGACGGTAAACGTAGGCGTTCGACGTTTTTCACGGTATTAAACGTTGCGTAAATCCCGGCTTCTTGTATAGTCACGCCTAGCCATTGTTACAACGGGCAGCTGAGGGTGGAAACCAGGAGGTGGAAAGGGTGAGGGTGAGAGGCTCCAGGATCGTTCGAGAAAATCGCTCGACATCGACATCCACTTCGCTCCACCTTTCAATTACGCGTGGCCTGTTTACTCGCCGGGGTTGGAGGGATGGTAAACAGAGTCATACGTTTCTTTTTAACGTTCCGTTGCTCCGGACGATTCCCCCCTCCCCCCCTCCCCCCACGGCCCCTCGTTAATTAGCAGTTTAATTAAATGAAGTTTGCGTTCTTCTGGTCCCTTGCGAGACGAGAGATCGCGGCTTTCGATATACCAATTCCGTGCCGGCGAATCCAGCTGGGAAATGAAGAAGGCAAACTCGCACGCATGCAGATGATGCTTGTGGCCGCGTTGCTTTTGTCGTTTCGTAGTACGAGAATGCAGAATTACGCTTCGTTACATTAATCAGGCCGCGGGCTCGTAATCGTTTACGAATGCGATTATATAATAATTTATGTAATAGCTTTAATAACGTTGCTGCGTTTCGTTACAGATATAGAGGATTGTTGCTGTTATTCCTTGCAAATCCTAGCCTTTGTCGAGCCTGCCTCTGCCAGATTGAGATTTTATCCAGCTCAGCTTTCGAAGAAGGCATATTTCTGCCAATTAT